CAGTTTGCCATAACAATGTTGTTTTTTTTTTTTTAAACAGATTACGAGGACTCTTGTTGTTATATAGGTAAGTTTAAAATTTTACCCAATGTGTCCTTGGCCCTGGCCCGCCACTGCAGAGGTGCATGGTTTGTTGGTCAGCTGTAGCCTTTCCTTGTGACCACATCCTCCACCAATGACGTGTAAATAAGTAAAACTAAAATAAGTATGAGTATCAGGTCAGGTTAGGGAGCATGCGCTGGAGCGGGTTGCACAGCGAAACTTCTCGGGATCACGGCCGGTGATTCCTCAGGCAGATTCACGTTCAGTCCCACCCTCTGGAAATGGCCATCCAACTGCCGCCGCCAGATGTTACGTGGGCGTCCCCTTGGCCTGGTCCAGCCGCTTGGGTCCTTAGCAATGAGGATCCTGCAAGCCGGATTGCCCTCTGGGAAACGCGCCACATGGCTGCAGTGCTGTAACTGACGCTCCCTCACAACGCAGGTAATGTGCCTTATTCGGGACTCCTCTAGCAACCACTCGTTCGACACAAAGTCAAACCAGCGGTACCTAAGGATTCTCCGAAGAGACACAGTACCGAAGGAGTCCAGTCTTCGTCTCAGGTCACTGGATAGTGTCTATGTCTAACAACCATATAGCAAGACGGGGAGCACCAGGACTCTAAAGACTTGGACCTTTGACCTTTTGCAAAGATATCGGGAACGCCACACACCCCTTTCCAGCGACCTCATGACCCCCCATGCTCTCCTAATCTGTCTACTGACTTCATAGGAAGAGTTACCAGAGACATGAATGTCGCTGCTGATGTAGGTAAATCTCTCGACAAGGTTGACATTCTCCCGGCAGACAGACACAGTACTGATGGCTGTGCCCAAGAAGTCATTAAATGCCTGGGTCTTGGTCTTTAACCAAGACACCTGCAATCCCAGACACTCAGACTCCTCACTCAGTCTCTCGAGAGCCCCAATCAGAGCTTTCATTGATCACAGCGTCATCGGCAAAGTCAAGATCAGTAAATCTTTCTTCACCAACGGATGCCCCACAACTGCTGCACCCCATGACCCTGCCCAACACCCCGTCCATGCAAGCACTGAACAGAGTAGGAGCAAGAACACACTCCTGACAAACCCCAGAATCAACTGGGAAGAATGCAGAGGTTCTCCCTCCGCTCTGCACAGCACCTCACAGTACCAGTGTACAGTCCGGCAATGATGTCCAGCAACTTCAGGGGGATCCCGCAAAGTCTCAGGTTGTCCCACAGGGCAACTCGATCAACAGTCGAACGCTCTACGAAATATCGACAAAGGCTGCAAAGAACCTCTGCCAATATTCACACTTGCGCTCGATAAGAACCCTCAGTGGAAGGATACGGTCGATGATAGACTTGTTAGGCGTAAAACCAGACTGCTCCAGTCACTGACAGGCAAGTAAGTGATCACGGATCCTGTTAAGGGTGATACTAGTAAGGACCTTACCCAGCACTGAAAGCAGTGTTATCCCCCTGTAGTTGCCACAATCCAGGCGATCACCCTTCCCTTTCCAGATAGGGACAACAAGTCCTGTTTTCCAGTCAGCTGGAATGATGCCTGACTCCCTAATGGAAGTAATGATTGCCTGCAATGCCGGGAGGGCAGCCTTAACACCAGCCTGGAGAAGGTCACCCTGGATATCGCAGATCCCTGTGGCCTTTCCTACCCCCAGCTGATTCACTGCCCGTGCAATCTCAGGGAGATTGGATGGTTCACAGCTGATCGGAGCGTCAGTTTCGAGAACCGTGGACCCAGAGATGTCCAACGTCCTAGCCGGAGGGTCAGCTTTAAACAACTGCTCAAAGTAACCGGCCCAGTGAGTCACAACTGCAGTGTCATCCGTAAGAAATGTTCCATCACTTGCCTTGACTGCAAGTCTCTGAGGAACAGACTCAGATGTGCGTAATGCTTAGATTCCTCTGTAAGCAGGACGTGGGTCACTAGACCGCAGATGGTGTGTCACCTGCTCACAGATTTGTCTAACAAGCGCCTCCTTACCTGCCCTCAGAGCCTTTACAGTCGTCCTTCTCAGTGCCCGGCACAGACTGGAGTTGCCATCAAGTCATGCGCTGCGACTCCTCTCCATAATATCCAGGGTGCCCTGCGAGATGAAACACCTCCTTCTGGGAACACTGGCAACACCAACACAACCCTCAGCAACCTCCCCAGAAGGAGGTGTTTCTCATCCTGGAAGGTCTCCCACATCACAGTAGAGTCAGCAGTCACACAATCTGCAGGTTCTTCACACAAGTTGCATGCAAACTCATCAGAAACAGCTTGATCTTGGAGTCTGGCTAAGTTCAGCCTCGTTCTCCTAGTAGGTGGTAGCCTTTCGGATTTAAGCTGAATCTTCCGAGTAGCAACAAGAAGTCTGTGGTCAGAATTCATAAACTAGGCACTTCTGTAGACCCTGCAGTTCTGCAGGAGCCTCCAGCATCTGCCCACGAGGATAAGATCGATCGATCTACTCTACACCACCAGTATAGGAGTACCAAGTCCAACGATGCGGCTCAGAGCGTTGGAACCAGGATCCAGTGACTCACAGTCCCTGACCTTTCGCAAAGTCAAGGAACATGGAGCCACTTTCAGCATGGTCTCCATGCCCATGGGGATCGACACAATCCTTGTAGCCAGCCCTGTCAGTGCCAGTTGTCGCATTGAAGTCACCCATGACCAGAGGAGTGTCACCTCGTGGGTACCCTTCAACCACCGAGCGAGTTGCGAGTAAAATGTCACCCTCAATGAGACATCACTCACTGTGGTCAGAGCATACACTGAGACAACAGACAAGATGCCCAAAGAGTGCCTTAGTCTGAGTCTCATAATGTGCTCGTTGAAAGGAGTGACATCAGACACCATCGGAAGGAATCGATCCGCTACGGCAACAGCTGCTCCCTGAGTATGGCAGCTATCAGACCAACCAGACCAAAAGTAGGTAAACCCACCTACAGAGATCTGACCACTCCCCGGTCTGCGTACCTCAGAGAGTGCCGCCACCGAAACGTGGAGTTTACGAAGCTCCCCCAACAGCAGAGGAAGATGGTCATCCTGTTCCACACGCCTACCTCAAACTGGGACCCAAGTGCTGCCATGCAGCAGGTGATGTTTTAATAAGGCTTTAATAGGACTATGTTTTTCTGTAATTGTTTGAATTCTTTTTTATTTTTTTTTCTATTTATTGCACTAAACAGGAGCAGGAGCAGGACTCCTAATTTCATTGTGTATTTAGTACACAATGACAATAAAGCTTCTATTACAATATATTCTATTCTATTCATAGCACTTCGGTTATTTAAATTTTTTGTTTTACAGCAGCAGTGAAATACAGTGGTACCTCAGTTCTCGAACTCATTAGAACTCGAATTTCTTAAAAGTCAAACCATCTAGTTCGAAAAAAAATTACCTAGAGCTCAATCTGAATCTCAGAAGTCAAACCGTGAACACCGACCTAAGATAACTTGTACGCTCGGGGAAATGAGTCACGCGGCACATCTTCTCAGCGGAAACAAAGGGTAAAGCTTCAGTCTCTCACAGTTAGCTGTGATAGCACCGTGCATGTTTACACTAACTAAATACATATATTTAGACAGTAAAAATACATTTAGACAATGATAGACAGTAAAAGTAATTATTATATAATAAAATACATTTAAAAATAGATTTCTTATTCATTATTTTAATATTAATAATAAACCATTAATACGTTTAATTATAATAATATTGTTGTGCCGAGCGGGGATGGAACGGAGACAAAGGCGCAGATGTCAGGGTATCGGGGAATACGGGGTTTAATTACAGGTAAGGCAGGCAAAACGCAGATGGACAATACAATGACCGGACTGGGGAAACAAACTGAAACGCAGACGAAATACAGAGGACTAATGACAACAACCAGAAACAGCTCATCACACAGGGATTCCACATGGGGTTAACGAGAGGGCGTGGCACACGGAAGGACGGACGATCAGGGCAGGACACATTGTTTGGATACATTTATTTCCTTACTTTACAAATTACTGTTTTGATAAATGTGCTTAGATGTGTTTAGTACAGTATATGCTCTTCTTGTTTTATCCAGTTCATTTTGTTTAAATGCTAAAAAAAAATAAAAAAAAAATAACATATTTAGGTGTAATTTTTTGGGACCGGGAACCAATTAATTGGCTTTCCATTATTTCTTATGGGGAAAATTTGATCACAACGCAAACTTTTTAGGATTCGATCCGCAGTTTTGAAAAAAAAATTGAGTTCTGAGGTACCACTCTATTGATAAAGTACATTTAAAATTTTACCCAACATGTCTCCTAAAAATGACAGTGAGAAAAAAAATCAAGCAGGTTGAAATTCCATTTAATTCCATTTGGTTGTTTGTTTTTTCCTTTACAGCAGTATTGCCAGATTACTCAGGTAAATTTAACATTTTTCCCATAATGTCTCCTAAGAAATGACAGTGAGTAAAAGATTAAGCATGTTGAAATTCCATTTTGTTAACACCTCATCTCACTGATGTATATGTCTTTTTCAGTGTCCCCTAAAAATAAGAGGTCCAGTTCAGGAAAGTTGCTTTCAAAGAAAAGATTTCTTCATTGCATTTTTACAATAACACTTTGTTGTTGTTTTTCAGCAGATCAGTGTTGCTCAGGTAAATTTAAAATTTTATCCAACATGTCTCATTAAAAAGACAATGAGTAAAAGATTAATCATGTTGAAATTCCATTTTGCTCCATCCTTAAGACATGTCCAAGCTATCTTAAGCGTTTAATGTAATGTCCTTGTTGATGCTTTGACTGCTTGTTTTCTTGTATAGTTGTTGGTTGGATATTTTGTTGGGCCAAAAGATCTGGCAGATTCGTCTCATGATGCCTCATCTGTTGTGGAAGACCTCAAGTCTCCTCATGTCTGTACTGACCACACGCCAACACTCTGAACCATACAGGACAGACTTTACGTTGCTGTTGTATAGGAGCATCTTTGTTTTCAGGCTGTATTGTTTAGACCTCCAGATGGAACGGAGTTGGGAAAAGGCACCCTGAGCCTTTCCCAGCCTTGCTCCAATGTCTTTATGGACAGCGCTGTCCTTGCTGATAAGGCTGCCAAGTTAGGTGAAGTCCTCCACATCTGGATGGGTGTTGTGGGGGTGGAGTTTTGGGTTGGGTTTTGGAGGCATTGATCTTAAGTCCGGCCTGTCTGGCATATTAGTTGAGCCTGTCAGTTTTCGATTGCATGTTGGAGTGGTTTTTTGAAAGGAGAGCAAGGTCGTCTGCAAAGTCAAGGTCTTCCAACTGAGAGGACAGAGTCCATTGGATGCCTCTGCGTTTGTCTGTTGTTGTGTTGGTTGTGATCCAGTCTATTGCAGGTAGGAAGAGGATGGGAGAGATGATGTAGGTCTCTAATCTAAAAAAAAAAAAATCACGTTTAATAGGGCTAGAAATTTTAGTTGCTTTAATACTATAATAGACTGTTTTGTAATTTCCCTCTAACCAGTAAATTACTTGATTTTAAAAAGTAGCTGTTAATGTTACAGGTACAAAGATGCAGACAAATGCCCCTTGAGCAGAGAGGTTTATAGTTGAAATAAGAACAAAAATATTTTAAAAGAGAAGGACCTATTTGGAGAAGGCAGGCCTCAGTGACACTGCACTTTACTGCATAGCAAAATTTTGGAGGGCAAGAGACCAGTGGGTTACTTGCACATTGATGTCCTTGGTCCTGGCCAGGCACTGCAAGGGTCTCACTGATGTATATCTCTTTTTCGGTGTCCCCTAAAAATAAGAGGTCCAGCTCAGAAATGTTATTTAAAAAGAAAAGATTTCTTCATGATGTTTTTACCGCAACATTTTATTTTCCTTTTACAACAAAAGCAGATGGTTTCTCAGGTAAATAACATACCCAACTATGTCTATTGAAAAGTAGACAGAATAAGAAAAAAACAAGTGTGTTGAAATTCCATTTGTTTAAAAACATATTTCTGTGTGATTAACAAGAGAGGTCCAGTTCAGAATCCACAATTAAAAAGAAAGGTACCGTATGTTCATAGCAGTTTGCCATAACAATGTTTTTTTTTTTAAACAGATGACGAGGAATCTTATTGTTGTTTTGGTAAGTTTAAAATTTTACCCAATGTGTCCTTGGCCCTGGCCCGCCACTGCAGAGGTGCATGGTTTGTAATAAGGGTGACAGGCTGCTGAATTTGGTAGGCCCTCCTGAGCCTCCCCTTCCATGGCAGCATATCATTTCTTGACTGGAGTGGCCTTCCTTGTGTACTGGGTGTATTTCTCCTCCATAAATCCTAGGAGAGAACTGCTACCAGGCTGATCTCGGAGGAGGCAGTTTGCAGTCAGAAGGACAAGGTTCAGTGGTGACGCTGGAAGGCAAGTTTGATGCCCCTCGCCAGCCCAGCAAAGACCATACCTATTTTTTTTTGTGATGGGGCCAAGGATGGCTTCAGCCTTGCTCTCTTTGAGTGGGCCCTATCAAATGAGGAACCTTAGAATCTTAGAGTAAGATTTCAGAGGCTAGCTGGCACGCCGAGTGGTAGGTATCTCATGAGGTATGGAGCCCGGATGCAGGCCCAGTCCTAATGTGGACAACATTCATGCTTGGGGGTATATTCAAATGCAGTGAGGTATGGAGCCCGGATGCAGGCCCAGTCCTAATGTGGACAACATTCATGCTTGGGGGTATATTCAAATGCAGTGAGGTATGCCTGAATGACATCCACAGTGGGGAGCTTGCCAATGAACCACTGAGCAGCAGGTCGGTCCTCCTAGTTTCTCACCAGTCCCATCCCGTTTAACATTTTACCCAACATATACGACTCCTAAAAATAAGACAGAATAAGTAAAAAAATAATAATCAAGCATGTTGAAATTCCATTTCCTTAACAATACATGTTATTGATGTCGATCGCTTTTTCAATGTCCACTAAAATTTAAGGTCCGGAAACCTTACCAGACAAGGTTTGTTCATAGCAGTTTACCATAATATTGTTCTGTTTTTCCTTTTGCAGACGGAATGGATTATCTGTCAGGTAAGGTTGTCATCTTCCATTCCATACTTGAGGTTCTGCAGGTCAGCTGTAGCCTTTCCTTGTGACCACATCCTCCACCAATGACGTCCTCTAGGTCTATATGCCTGCAGCTTTGCATGACTGGCTTGGCCTTTTCTTCCACCTTGGCTTCTCCTTTTGTTGCCAGCCATGTCTTGTTGGCATTTCTTGAGGCCAATGGAAACCATGGTTGCCATTGACCTGAATGGGGCTCCCCCTGCTGGTGCTCTGTGGAAACCCAGTGGACTGTCACCACACAGCATAATGCAAATGCTAAAGCCATTATGTGTTTAACAAATGAATGTGTCTGATTTACATTTAAATGCTTCTTGTGCTACCAGTTGTCTCCACGTGGAGAGACACACCCTTTCTCTGTCATGCTTTTTTTTTTCCTTTTCTACATTTCACCCTTCCTCCATACACTTCCCATGCTTACTCCACACTTTCCATATGGGAAAATTGGACGTGTTGTGAAAAATGATGACCATGATATTTGCAAGGCTTTAATCAACTGTCAACTTAAAATAGACCCTCCAGAGAGACAGAAAGTTGGGGATCCTTTGCTGGAATTGATCAGCTTACAGAAAGTAGATGGATCCTGGGACCTCCAACCATCGCTGGCCTCCATCTTTGGAAAAAAGGAAGAAGAAGTGGCCACAGCCTTACCTGGAAAGGTGATGGACTCTCTGAGATGTTCCACACTTTAAGGGTCTTAAAGACAGTGAAGCTTTTTTCAGTTTGGTTGTATTTTCAGGCCTTTAGCTCAGGTCAGTGAGGGACCTTGATCCTGTTTTTTGCTCCACAGCCTGAGTTTTTATCAGTCTGGGCCACAGTGTTGGCAGTTCTGTGGCTACATGGTCATAAGATGGACTTCAAGGATGAGTGGCAGTTTGTGGCTGCAAAAGCTGTTGCCTGGATCAGAGCTCATTCAGGTAGGAGAGAGCTCTCCCTTTGTTTGATACACATTCATTACCGATACATCATATGTAATAGATTAACTGAAGTAACTGAACATAATATAATTTTTCAAATTTTGTCTTTGGCATTATTGTAAAATTATGTAATGCATCAACACAACATAATGTGCTGAATAGCCAGTTGAATGTTAACAAAAATGTTTTTCAGATTATGCAATGTGACAGTGTGTTTGTTGCGACTGTATGGTCTGTAGGAGCTGATTTGACCGGGTTTGTGGCAGCTGGGAATTCATTCCTTGGCCTCAAGGTGGAGCTGCGGAACCTTGGCCTACAATAGTGAACCAGACCCTGAATTGCCATCATATTAGCCTATTGCCACTGCACGCAAAGCATCCCAGCCTGCTATTATGTTAATTCTTGAAGTATCCATGCTGATATCATTTAAATGTCAGTTACCTAAATCACAGTTAGGTGGAAGAATAAATTTGCATGACTTCTATATTCAGATGTATTTTTAGCAATGGTATTGCTAATACATGAACTAGTTTAAACCAATGTATTTCAGCCCAGTCCTTGGGGACCCCAGACAGTCCACATTTTTCCTTCCTCCCAGCTCCCAGCCAATCATGTTCCTTCCCCCCAGCTCCCAGCCAATCACAAATACCAAATATCTGATATAGGTGTGCTGGGAGCAAAAAAGTGGACCGCTTGGAGGCCCTGGAGGACTGGGTTGAGAAACACTGGCATTCTGTCACATAACAGTGAGAACCGTAACAGACACACATGCAGACCCCATTGTGATTTTCTGAGATGAAATGCTACTGCTTCCCATTTTTGACTGTACACACACAAGTTGGCAAAAAAAAAACTGTCCCGCCAGCACAGTGGGATTTGAGTGATATTTGATAAATGCGCTATATAAATGCTGTCCATTTACCATTTACATAAATCCTGTATAATGTGTCCCAAAATGTGGAAACTAAACATTAGTTAAAAAAAAAAAGCCTTTACAAAAAAAATGTCAGGTGGTGCAACTAAAAAATATTTGACAATTATTGTCTTACTCAACCTTCATAAAGTAACCATTTCTGTCTGCAATGCATCAGTTCTTCCCCCATTTATTTGTGGTCAATAATTGCAGTTGCGCCGCCTGACTTTTCAAGCTCATTTCAAATGAAACAGATGTCTGCTTGGACACATGCGCCAACTTTTATCCTTGATATGAAGTTTATACATACAGTTTTCGATACAAATTAAGTGTTTTATCGTATTACAATATGATCATGGTTTAGCATGGGTTGTACCACCTGACATGAAAACCGTAAGCCTAACCATGAGTTGAAAATGGTCATTTTAGTCAGTATGTAACTTGGATCTAACTTTTTTCACAGCATCATGAAGACGACTTGGGGTCTTCTTTATGATGTAACATCTGGTCCAACATTTTCTACATTGACTTTTAAATAAACCCCCCCCCCCTTTTTCCAATCATGTCACCTGGCATTTGAGGTCATATAAATTTACAGATGAATGTTTTTCAGTTATTTTAATGGTTTTATGACCATAGTGTTTCGCAACTTTTTATGAGCTTAAAAGATTTCAAATAGAATAATGCCTAATAGATTTTTTTAAAACTGCTTAAATACGTTTAAGAAATTTCGCTGCTCATTTGTTGATGGTTGTACCACCCGACAGACAACAATGTCAGAACTGCATATTATTTGAAGGTATTCAAAATATATTCACATTAAAGAGGTTTTCATACAATAAATGTTATGCATGCTACATATTTAAGGATTTCAAGCATCTCCTTTAGTAACAGTAAGAGGAAATAAGAATGATCAGTTTCAGTGCACGTCTACAGACTGAGCAGGTCTGTGATGAAAAAGCAGGAACTGAATCAAACGACACTTGTGGTTTTCTGGTTTGCCAAACCCTAATGAATTTATTTGTCGCCCAGTTTATAACAATGACACATGCATAGTGAATTTTAAATATCCATGAAAAGCTGATCTACCAGGATAGTCTAAACAAGTGGTTCTCAAATCAAACTTTAGAACCAGTTCACATTTTGTTGTTCCACAATCTACAGCAGTATTATCCATCCCGGTCCTTGGGGACCCACGTATGGTCCACGTTTCTGCTCCTGACAAACACATGGACTGTCTGCAGGTCCCCAAGGACCAGCTTGGGAAACACTGATTTACACACATATTTCTAAGTGATCGAGCGGCTTTATGGTGACCTTTCATTACCTGGGTTTGAGTTGCTGCTGACATGAACAAATACGTGGACTTATGGGGAGGGGATGAGGACCTGTTTGAGAACAACTGGCCTAAAAGGACAAACATTCTGTTTGCAAAGGAATGCAACCTATATCTCCCAATAACTATTACTATCACCATAAGTGAACCATTTCATATCGTGCTCAGTCAAGTTCACACAGAGTTATACTAGAACCTGCTCCAGACCAGAACCTAAACCCAGGGTATAATGGGCCAGAGAAGGAAGCCTGGACCACATGTAGGAGCTGGACCTGGTTGTTAAAGACTCCATAGAATGCCAAGATCCCCATTTGCTGGTCTACATAGACCCCAATGCGCCGGGCCTTGGGACCAGTGACCGTAGTCTCCTTCCCAGAGTGCCACACTGAGAATCCAGTCCCAGACCAGTATAGACCCCATGACTGGTTGTTATGACCCAGCCTGCAACTATCATCTGACCCCTTCCTGCCCAATTCCTTGTAGGTGACTCCAACAGTGATTTTCTGGCCATTCCACTCTACCTCCCAGTAGTAGGGGCTCCCAGCCAGTGGCTCCCGACATAAAATCTGCCGCCAATATTGGAAGCGGTCAGGGTGCTCCGGGTGGCCCTGGATCTCAGCTCGCAACGTTGCCTTTCTGTCTTTCTCGGACACACGGATGTGGCGGTAGGCAGTGTTGAGATCCAGGGTTGGCTCAAAGCGGTCTGTTGGGATAGAGGGAATTTTGACATATTAAACGAATAACCTTAAGGAAACATCTACATTGAGCATCAATCCAGCTTAAGTCTTGTGTCTTCTGCTAGAAGGCCTACAAAATGTTTCCTCTTTCTGGGATGAAGACATGAAATGAGACAATCAGATTTTTGTGGCAGTGGATTTTTATCTTTACAGGGCCAGCTTGGAATGAATCACATAAGCTAATCATTTAGCATTAAAAACTCACATTTTAAAAGTTCATCTCTTGTCTTGGGCTCAAGGGCTGGTGGACTGCTGCTGGCTGAGGCTCCACTTACTGAAAAATTGATTTTTTGAAAGCCAGGTCCATTGATTTGAAATGGTATTGCATCTGAAGTCTTTATAATCTGAAATAACTGTGTAATGTTAATACTGTGCAATATTATACACTTAATATCCTTGGTATACCCTCGTCAGAGGTGGATAGTTTAGGTCCAGAAAGTAAAAATCCAGACTAAGATTTTGTTTCAATCAACCAGTTGAGCATACAGAATCAGTCACAGAATACTTAACTGGTGGGTTGAAACAAAATCTTAGTCTGGACCTGAACTATCCACCTCTGAACCTCATTCAGCTTCCCCTGCAATGTTACTGGATTTTGATGCACATCTTGCTTTGTTCACCTGTCATTTGGAATAGTTGCCTCACTTCATTTTGAGCTCCTTCAGCACCGGCATTGCTGGACACAGGAGGCAGAGGTCCTGTATCGTTCACTGTGAAAAAGAAAATGTCCATGTTGCAAAATCCAGCCACTTGGGACCCACTGATAACAGACCTTATAAAGATGACATTTACATAACATTACATTTTCTTGGTTATCTAAACTCAAGATTGATTCAAAAGATCACAAGAGCGGAATGGCACTCCCTCCAGAACTCCCTCTGGAAAGATAAATAAAGACGTGATTTTATTTTCCGGGACCAGAGAGCATTAAGCAGACTTACATGCCTGGAGCAGCCTAGCCGTACTGGCTTTTAGAAGCTCCTGCAGCTTCACCCTCAGCTCCACCAGGATGGCCTTTACGGCCCGGAGGGCATCCTCTGAGTCTGCCCCCACCTTCATATCTCCACCATCCTGGAATGGAGCTTCCAACATCTGGAAGTTCTGGACAGGCACAGAAAATATTCATACAACATGTGCAGCAAGCTTAAACTTTACATTGACTCTGCAGCTAAGGCAGCCCACTTCCAGATCATCATGTTAGGAGTGTTTCTCTACATATGACCATATTTAGAAATACTTAGGATTCCCAGTTTCTTCACAAGAAAAACATTTGCTCCACCTGAAAGCAATAAATCCCCAATGCCATTCCTGGACTGCAAGTCTGAAACACAATTTCCAGATTTCCCTGCTTAGATACACCTACTAAACATGGTGTTTAGCTGATTTGGATGCGTTTGAGCAGGGAAATCTGAAAACTGTGTTGCAGACTGGCCCTTCAGGACCAGTTTTGGGGAACCCTGCAATGAATTAACTAAGTTTAACAGAAGTATCCAATATAATATCAGTTAGGGATTAAATAACTACAGTAAAGAATAAATATATCTATGTTGTCATGACCCAACAGAAGCCAAACTATGATGAGCTATCTGAGAGTGTCCAAGTACCTTTAGGAAACACACACTGTCCTGGATGCGCATCAGCCAGTGCAGTTCTTCATCCCTCCTGCGCAGCTGTGCCACTTCCTGCTCCAAGCGTTGGATCTGCCCCTCACAAGAGGTGCTGGCTGCGCTCTCACGGGAACAAAGCAGCTCGTTCACTTGAGTACTCATCTGTTCCACATTGAGTACCAGCTCTGCAAAGATCTGACCACTTTCTCTCTGTAGAGCTTGAGAAAAGTCCTGAAACAAGCATATTTACAATGAGAGAGGGTGTTAAAGAGCAAACTAAAATAAAATGAAAATTACATGCAACAGTTTTAGACAAGTGCTTGACAAGCTTTTACAAAAAAAAACCTAACAGGTAAATCCTTGTACAAACTATCTTGAAAACAAGCTACCTCACAACATTCCTGCCACCAGGTACGTGTGTGTGTGTGTGTGTGTGTGTGTGTGTGTGTGAGTGTGTGAGTGAGTGAGCGGGTATACCTTCCTGGTCCCCATATGGGAAAACTATTTTATAAGAATCCGTGACTGCAATGAAAAAACTATAAATGCAAAAACTCTTGAATTTTGTTTGGTTACTTATGGTTATGGTTAAGGCAGGGTGGGGGTTAAGGTTGTCATAGTTAGCGTTAGCATTTTTCCCATAGAAATGAATGAGCGTTCCCCATAAGGATATGTTTACCTTTTACACTTTTATGTGTGTGTGCGTGTGTATGTGTTTGAGTATCTGCCCCTTTTCAATCACATAAGATCACCGTATTTGTTTTCGGCAACCGAGGGGGACCGCCCCCCACCCCACCCCAGTCGACTACCTGCCCCTTCTGAATTCTCTGCACCTGCCCCTAGCAGCAGATTTGCTTTAAAATTATATGGCCCGTGTGGGTACAGGGGGTGGAGGACGTTCACATACCTTGTACATTCTAGCCGTCTGTGGCAGACGTTGTAGGTCTCTTTCCTTCTGTTGGATCTTTCCCTGCATGTCGGCCAGCATCTTAGCTACCTCCCGCTTTACAGACAGACCACAGGGATGACGGTCATCACCTCAAACCAACCAGACTGCAGTCACGTGAAATGTTAATACACAATGTTAGTTGGACTATAATGTTGATGAAGCCATACCTCCTTCTCCTTCTTCTCCTCTTCAGGACTGACCACGCAGTGGCCCTTATGCTCATGATTCTTGCACATGTTGCAGATGCACTGCTGGTCATTGCGACAGAATAGGTCCAACGGGCGCTGGTGATCCGGACAGAGCCTTGGGTTCCCAGGGAGCTTTGGGTACAGGCTTCTCTCACCCGGGCCCTCGTTCATCTCGTCACCTAGCGGAGCACAGGGCAGCGATGGTGCGGCCAGGCAAATAGGTGCAGGGCTTACCTCCTGCACCCTTATCTTCAGCTTCTCCATGGCTTCCACCAGTAAGGTGTTCTTGGCCAGCCTGGGCCGTGGGCTAAATGTCTGTCTGCACTGGGGACAGCTGTAGACTTTCTTTGCCTCCCCTCTGTCCCAGTGGCTCTGGATGCATGGCAAGCAGTAGGTATGTCCGCAAGGGAGAGTCGCAGGTTCGTGCAGCGTCTCCAGACAGACGGAGCAGTTAAACTCCAGCTCTGAACACCCCAAAGATGCCATGGGAAAGAGGGAGGGGTAAACTGGGAAGAAAAAAATAATAATCCTAGTGAAAGATCTGAGGAAAATAAGCTGAAATTGTCTGAGGATGAGGAACACAGCCTGAGAGCGAAGAAATAAGCAGAAAGTTCCCAGCCTGCGAACTATTACTGAGCAAACGGAAACCGCCTCCGATACTGGATAAGCTGGAAGGGCAGCCGGTTTTCTGGATCATCTGCATTCTTATTGATCCTGTGTTATGCAGCCTGGAACCTCTACCAAAGTTGATTTCATAGCATAGTTATGCAGGGGGAAAGGGCTTACAGAGGACCATCTGGCTAGACCAGTCAGGCATTACCAATCACAAGAGAAAACAGCAGCTGACACATCACGGACCCAAAGTACAGCAACACAGAAAAAGTGGTTGCACGTTGCATGTATGAATTAGAGCTCAGATAAAAGTCGCAACACACATTTTTCAGTAAGCAAACCATAACCTGAAGTTCGGGCTAGTATTTCCTTTCACTAATCACTGAAGTCCACCCACACACTGTGGAAAATTCAACCTGCGTTCCCCGCGTACTGTACCATTTCCTTTGGTGCTATAGCTTTGTTAGCTACACACCACAACAACAAATGGAAATTCATTTTTCATTAATGTATTTTGATTATAAATCCTCATATTATCAGAAACTCATTCACACTTTGCCACAACATAGAAATAAAATCCACTATTATGTGGTATTTATTAAGAATACCAAGTCGTTGCTGAAAAATTCTGTTTAAGGTGTTATATAGGTCTTGCTCACAGTTACTTCCTTAAGAAATGTAAACTGGATGCCTTACAACCCTGCATTTGCTTGACCACTGAACCTCGTCTAGTTATTAATTTAAATTAATTTATTTAATTAAGTGTGCTGGCAGTGGAATTTAAATAATACACGGGATGTCCATGAGCAGAGGTCTGGGACCTGATATGTATACATACATACATACACACACACATACATATATTCATGTATAAATGATTCTTGTATTCAGTCCTCATCGCTGTATATGATAAAAAAGATAGACCCCGGATGAAAACACGGAAGTCAACAAGAATACTACAAAGCAGCCGCCGAAAATGGCAAAATAAGTGCTGCGGCGATATTTATTATCGCTTGTGTAAAATATGTAAAAGCATTTTTATAAGCTACATTAATTCGAGCCTATCGCTTTAAAAAATGACGTATTAAACCCAAACCAAGTCTTTCTTCCGCCATAATAGATTGTGACAGCTGAAGAGGTACTGCCGTGAAGTTGTATCTAATTGTACTTTATATTTTAAAGGTGAGCACCACTTCTTGCAATTAAAATATTATTTGGATTTGATTTGCATATCGGATTCAGCTGTCATTTTGAGCAATTATTTTGCAATATGTACTCAAGTAAGAAAGAACGAGGAACGAAGCCTTTGCGGTTCAGGCCTGCATTCCCCAAGTTTTCTGGTGAAGACAGCTGCCGACGAGTTACTGAAACGTCCTGAGTTTCTGCTTCATCAAAGGTGTAATTCAGCCATGTAATTTATGGCTGAACCGGGACACAAAAACGAGCTGCCGGCACTGCTTGTTCTCATGCAATCCTCAATGGGGCTACATTGTTTATAGCAGGGATTTGATTCTCTAGTTTTATAGAGGACGGTACCATAAAGATCACCTTTCATCTAGTTAATATCATTTGACCTTGAACTAGGTAACCTAAATTATAAATGGAACGGGAGCAGCACATTGCATTTGTATAGTGCGTTAGGGCAAATGACAGAATTAAACGTGGCTCATTAGGCTGCTGATAAGTCAACAGACTTACCTGAACATTAGTGGATTTTCGAAACTTTGGACATTTCGTCACACTTATATGGGTCTGTCACCTTTAGTCTAATTACCTCTGGTATAATCGCTACCTGCGTATCGATTGATAAACTGTGTTCGGTTATAAATTCTCAGCATAACTGGATTTTAATACTGTTGTCTCTCTTCAAGTTGAATTTAAAGGCGACATTCGGGCAAATTAGCTTAGATAATTCTGAATAGACGCTAGTTATTCAGTGGCATAGCAACACTAATTGATGGGTTTTTAATTTGTCGATCATAGTCAATCATTGATTGATACGACTGATATTGACCTGCATTGGTTTCTGCTGTTGGAAAGATTAAGTTTTTTCATTTGGAATATAAGAGTTTGATTTTGGTAGGTCTGCTGTAGATGTCAGCCTAGATCAGCAACTTTTTCACAATTTTTATTTCTTATTTTTGTGATTACAATGATTAAGGTGATGTACGTTTTTGTAAATTCAGCCTTAATCATACAGCTTTAATCTTTGTCAACATATATATATAATAACTAAAACGTACTTAATTTTTTCCGTTTATTTGTACGGTGCCCTGTCCTGGACTGGCATCCCATCCAGGGTGTACCCAGGCTGTCTGAGATTCGCTTCAGGCCCCCCCGCAACCCCAAGATAAGTGCTTGAAAGATGGATGGATGAATGGATGGGTGCATTTGAATAGTGACACATTTCCACAGCTACATTAAGAACTTATACTTAAAATCAAATTTAAATATAAAAAATAACAACTATTTCAAGATGTTTAGGTATCCATTGTTGCAGACTCCGTCGTTCTGCCATAAGTCACAAAGGTCGCTGCTGCTCTTCAGTGGAATCCTGTCTGAACTCCTGCTTCTGAAGCAGGGCTGGATAAGAACAGGGAAGTTTTCCAGTTTGGGATGCTCCTTTTCCTCCAGTCCACTCCACATCAGAGAAAAGAGAAAAAAAGTGACAGTATTACCCAAGCACCAGCAAGGACTCTCTGTGCCATGTAGACAAGGTCTCTGCTGGTTTTCCTTTCATAGCCTAAATCATTTCACATTCAGGACAGGTGTTGATGTAGTTTTTGAGAAACTTTACCAAAAGGTACCATTTCAAAGACCGAATCGAAAAGATTCCTTCTTAGGCAGACAGTTTGGCGCCAGAGGACAGCTTAGCACAAGAATTGTAAGCTTACTTCCTTCCCTGCATTCTTGGACACAACCTCTCTTTGAACGTCTTACTGGGAAAGATACCAAAAAATGCAGGCAGTCGAGTCTTAATGAAAGCCGGTTCTGTAAATGCCAGGGGGAAGACGGCCAGAACCCAACCACAAATGTGGAAACTGCATATAGTGTTACCTATGGTAATGAAAATGGGCAACTGGGTTTGTTTAACAAGAACACTTGTTCAAGCTGGACTCTTTCCCCATCGAAGGTCAGGCCTCACAGTGATGGTCAGATTCCCTTCAGTGGCTTGTGGGCCCATAGCCGCTGCCTACACCACAGTGCTGCTGTTCCAATCAGGACCAATCCCAGGCAGGCAAGCCTTAGAGAATGCCTGTCTGTAAAGAACGAAGCACGGTGTCGCCGTGCACTAGAGCCCAATGGGGCCTTGTATGAGAAGGACAGTCCTGGGAACTGGGCAGCAGTGCTGGTCTCCCTGTGCCTGGTGGAAGGCGAACCAGCCTTCCTGTTCACCCTCAGGTCCAGCACTCTCAAGGGGAGGCACAAGGGGGATGTCAGGTAAGGTACCCTGGGCTCAATGAGAGAGATCCGTGGTCATAGTTTTTTCCTTTTGTTGTTGCTGTTGTTAACAATTAATGTCTAGAACAGGGTTCCCCAATTCCAGTCGTGGAGGGCCAGTTTGCAGCTTTCCCTGCTCACACACACCTACTAAACCTGGTAATTAGCAGAGTTTAGATGCATTTGAGCAGGGAAATCTGCAGTCTGTTATTAGGGAACATTCCTCATTCTAGCAAGATGTCTAGTTCGTGTATGTGCTTTTGTTAGGGGTGGAGGGAAATTGATTATTAAATTGATTGATTGATTGTTAAAAATTCCCGGTTCTTCAGGGTGGTGATTTTTTATATCACCCTGAACTGAAAAATAAAATTTGAAATGTAAACCAAATGCAGGTTACTGTAATTGTCTTGGTCAGATTTGCTGCTGTTAATATAAGCTATGTACTGTGCAAAAGTCTTAGGCAGGAAAATGATGCTTAAATTATCTTCATGTTGGTGTAAAACCTATATTATGTCTGTCAAAGTGTGTCAGCATAGTCACTTCAACATCTCTCCTAAAGTCATCCCAGTTTTTGCAACAACAATCCATTCCATTTTTCTACTTGACCCGTACCCACCTCTTATAGCTAATCAATACCTCAGTGACTCTCGTAAACTAATTAAATTTATTAATTAATAGCGCTGGATGTGTAATGTAACAAATAGATGGAATGGCTGGGGTGGCCCTGAGGAGAGGTTTGGGATCTGAAGCAGTATTTATCTAACCTTCCAATAAGTTATCAGGAAATCTTGGGAGAATGGAGGAAATGACTCTTAATTTTCATGTCCTAATGTTAAATTGTTTTTGTTCTGAGCACAGAGTAGCTATAAACATTTCCTTTGACTGCCTAAGACTTTTACACAGTACGGTATGTTTGTTTCATATATAATTTCTGCATTAAATTGTGCAGTTCCATACCCCTTTACATGCGAAGTGCTTATTGACATCAGTCTAGATTTCACTGGTTTGGTGTTGCCTTCATAGGCTGGGTATGTTTAGTCACCTTGGATTGAGATTAGATGTGGACGACCTGCTCAGCTTTGCAGGGGGGAAGCGGGATCCTTCGGACGGAGATGTGGTCGACACGGCGCTGCGGGAGGCTCGTGAAGAGATGGGCATCACTGTTGCAGCGGGCAGCGTATGGGGCGTGTTGAAGCCACTTAGGGACTGGGTGAGGACATCCATGCCCCATTCAAAACTTAGTAACGCTCTTCAACCCATAAGTACTAGTCAACACAGTTTTAGGCTGCATTGGGATGAACTTTACTTTGTCCATTTCACCCCATAGAATTGTCTAAAGAAGGAACGGAATTGACTGTATGGATTTAGATTTAACTGTATTTGACTCTCCCTGCCGGCCCCTGGAGGATGGGCTCCCCCTTTGAGTCTGGTCCCTCCCAAGGTTTCTTCCTTCTGGGGAGTTTTTCCTTGCCACTGTCGCCTATGGCTTACTCACTGGGGGCTTTGGGTGGGGATGCTGTAAAGCGCTTTGAGACGATGTAATGTTGTGATAATGCGCTATACAAAAATAAATTTGTTGTTGTTGTTGTTGTTATTTGAATTTCACATTATATACAAATTAAAATGGGTGTGACATGGTAAATACCTGCATTTGAAAAGGAGGCAGCATAATATTTTAGAATTAGAGATGTGTATCATTTGTATGTCATCTAACAATCCTGTTCCGAGATCCGTTTGGCTTCCAGTGTTTCAGTACATGTCACACCCTGAAAATGTATGAATGGCCTCAAGTATTAATTGCTGTTTGGGGCACAAATAACTTTGTTGCTACTCAAGTACAAATCGTGAGCAAATATAGTAACTGCATGAAATACATGAACCGTTATGATTCATGATGAACAAACATGAGATCAACCTGTAGCTAACACTTAGTTTCTGGTTAATTAATACATTAAGTAAGAGTGTACGACTACATTATATGTGCCCCCACAAGTAAAATGTTGCCTCTGCTTGATTTCTTTTTTTCAGTCAGGAATGATTATTGCCCCTGTAATAGCAAATCTAGGCCCCCTGGAGGCATTAAACTTCCGTCCAAATCCTGCTGAGGTAATGACTATCAGATTAATTTAATGTTTATGCATGATAGAAACTGTTGCGTTATTTTTTTTCAGTATATTGAAAAGTCCGGCTATTTCCACCTTATTGCATAACCTCTGATCTGCTCTGTTCTCCTCCTCCTAGGTGGATGAGATCTTCACCATCTCACTTTCTCACCTGTGCAGCCAGGAGAATCGTGGCTACACGCACTTCCGGAAGGGCGAGCACTACGGCTACACCCTTCCCGTGTTCCGCAACGGAAAGCACCGGGTCTGGGGGCTCACGGCCACGGCTCTGGACCACACGCTCAAAGTGGTCATGCCCCCATAATGCCCAGAGACAAGAAATAGCATCAAGGCTAATATAAAATCTTAATTTGATTTGATCCATGTGTGAAATGGGACAATTCATTTATGTAATTGGACTTTCTTTGTTTAGACCTGTATGGTCTCTATCATATTTGGGGCCTCCCAGTGTTTTTGCCAGCTGACACTGATCTGACACTGATCTGTTGATGTTCTCTTTGCACTATACCTCTCTAGAATAGACATTTCATGCCACTCGTGCAATTGTTGAGCGGTGTCACTGACCAATAAAACGGTAAAGTATTTTGAAATGTATTTTTTTTTGTTTGTGTATGTATGGACTGAATATAAAAGTTATTTTAAAATTTGAAAATGTAAAAAGAAAAAAAGTCATTTTATTAGAGAGCAGTCACATGGGTTATGCTTTATCACATTTTTTTCACACATAAAAATCAACGATTGTCAAATTATATCCAGATATTTGTGTGCAGTTTATTCTTAGGCTGTTAACACTTTAAAGTTATATGCACTTTAAGGAACTATTTTCAGATGAATCAAGAGGCAGCGTTTGAAGCCATATTTAACAGACTGCAAGAAGTACAATATTAAGATGTGCTTTCAGGAAGTGGGTTAGTGAGTTAGTAACTCTGGGAGAACTAACTGTCATCTCCTACATTCTTTTTTGAAATGCAAAAAACCCCCAAAGTTTTTGCCAGAAAAACCACAATTTTCAAACTGTTTACATTATTTTCCAGTACGTGTCATGCAAATGCACAGAATGTAGGCGAAGGTGCTCTGTGTGGCTGTGGTGCAGAACCTCAGCTTCTGTGGTATCTCAAGTTCTCATAAGAGTGTTTGTCATCATTTTGGCCTCTTTGAAGAAGGACAAACTTACAATGAGGTTGTCCCTCCTGTAAAAATGGCTTCAAGCCTGTATCACACTCTTACTGAGTGAACATCAGTTTGCTTTGAAGGTATTAAATTACTTAGAACGTATACAAATACCTATTACAGATGTAACGGGTATTTGCTCATATCACTGCTGTGTATCATTTATGACACAAAGTCATTGTTTCTACATTGAGCTGCAGTGCAGTGGTTCTCAAATTATGCAACATCGCCACCTATTGGTATGCAAAGGTATCTGTTACAGGGCTGAATTTAATGGTGCAAGGGTATGACAAATGAGAACCCGTAAAGTGTTACTGTCCTCACCAACAAACCTCAACCCCCCCACATATTTAACCATCACCCCCCTCAGTGTCACAAGGTGTAAAAAGTCTGAGAACTACTGCTTTAGTGCAAGAATTATGGAAAATTTTGGAATTATGGAAAATATTCACTCAGCTGGAGCAGGATTTTTTATCACACCCAACATCAATTATAGCAAAAACTTCTGTGAAAGAAGTGTAGACATTATTGAGTACACCTGAACCGTTGGTGTGTATGTGACAAGCTTCCAAATGTCATAGACTTAAGTTTTTGAGATGGCCCTGTGAACTCAGCACTAGCAAATAACCACTTCCTTTAAGAAACAAGCAACCACAACGAATGTGGTTGAGACAAATATGTTGACAAATCGGTTAACGTGACGGGAAAACTGAACATTTCAAACAAGTGCTGAAATCAAAGTGTTGTGGTTAAGTTTTTTGCCAATAAATAAAGAGAAAACTAAAGTAATGATAAGCTTTAGTCCAGTTGAACCTTTATAGAATGGTGTAGTTCTTTGTATGACACACTTGATCTTGCATGCAATAAAGGGCTTCTGTGCCTACTCAGCTAATCTCGTCAGGATGGTGATTTAGAAAATCTCTATGATTCTTCAGTTTAGATGTTTAAGTGGAACATATTTCAGTGTTTAACTTTTCCTAGTATTTTTAACATTTCCTAATTGAAAAAAACACTGCCATACTTAATGAGACATGTCTCTGATGAGCAGTGAGTCTAGTGAGACGGGGTTTTAGGATATCAGAGAGTGGGTCATGGTCCAGGGGAAGGTGCTTTAGGGCAGTGATTCCCAAACCAGTCCTCTGGTAACCCCAGATGGTTCATGTTTTTGCTCTCTCTCAATTTGCTGGGAGGGAGCAAAAACGTGTACCATCTGGCCATCAACGAGGACCAGTTTAAGAAACACTGCTTTAGGAGATGAGATCTGGGGGCCACCTTGGGAGCTAGGGTAGGGCACACTCCACCTGCTCACGGCCATCTGGAAAGAGCAGGCAGTTAAAGGGCCAGCTGAGAGTTAGCAGCTCCAGTGCCTGGCTGCACTGCTGCTGCGTGCTGATACAAATGGAGCGGCAGGGCTGCAGTACACCACCCTGTGGGCTGCACTGGGGCACCACTACTGCGCACACTAGCCTGCGCAGGGCCTGGAAACACGGCACCTCCATCAGCACCTGCCAAGATGATCACCGGAATCCCTGTTTGTCTCATCATCACTTTTTGTATGTGGGCATTTATGAAGGACAATGCATGCACACTTGTATTAGCTTACTTACTAAAGCATTTTTTATTGTAACACTTTAGATACCTTCATAATGCATTATAATGCATTCATAAAGTATTATAAACATGGCTATAACTGTTTGTAAAAAGGCAAAACAAATTATAGCCATGTTTATTAGCACTATAAATGCCTCATGGAGCACTCATCTATAATGCGCTATAGATACTTTCATAATGCATTATACTGACCATTATAATGTATTATGAAGGTATTTACAGTGCATTATAGTTGGGAGCATTCATAGTGCATAATAAACATGGCTATAATGTTATAAATATTTATAGCCATGTTTAACACTTTATGAATGCATTATAATGTGTTATGAAAGTACCAATAATGCATTATGATGACTGCTTTAAGTGCTACCAGTTTTACTTTAAAAAGCTCTTAATTAGAGCTTTATTAACAGCTGGACTGGTTGAGGTGTCATACTGCCCGCTCAGTGCCTCCAATGCCAGGCTCACCTTGTACTGTCGGAGCACAGCAGAAGCCTCCCTCTGGTCAGTAATGGAGAGCCAGATGTTGGGGAATGAGGTGAAGTTGTAGCTCAGGCCGTGGCACATCTCCACCTTAATTGGCTCACAAGAGGAATCTAAGGTAGATGGTAAGGACACAATGTGCTGGGTTCTTGACCTGGCCTAAGATTTGTATTTTCTAAAAGTAAAATACAATTTTGTCATTAAAATATATATATTTACCATAATTTGTTCTGTACAATTCTAGTTAGCCAGTTAAAGTAATGTGTGTTGTACATTATGTTTTAATGTGTGAGAAGACAGTTCTTTCTGGGGGAGGTGTATGGTTCGGAACGTTAGGACTGAAGGTTGTTGGTTCGAATCCCTTAGCTGGCAGAGTGATGCCTCTGTTAGGTGCTTTGGACAAAAGCATTTGCTAAATAAATGTTGATGACCAATGACTTTGACCAAAGATAAGAAGATGGAAGATGGAAGGACACTTTTTTGCTCATTTATATAACAGAATATTTAGCAAACTGATAATTCCATCCTATTCTATTCTTCCTTCAATGGCACAAACAGCAGTTCCTTCTTTAGGATTAGAGCCAAAAGCATATCTTCGCAGGTATCGGTCTTTGACCTTTAGACCATCCTCTCCTGTGTGCTAGCAGCATGGATGGAGGTGTGAGAGCAATGCGGCGAAATCACCGAAAGGGACGTAGGTGGCATTGTGGCAGCCACGCTCGTCTGCACCATCTACGCAGTCGTTCCAGCCGTCGCACAGCCAGTTCTGGTGCACGCACTCACCACTGCCGCAGGTGAACCGCTCTGGGCTGCAGCTTCCTGGATCTGAGGAAGCAGGTGTCAGAATGACACCTCCACCCTGCAAGTCAGCAAAACCCCATAATAGTTTTGATTCCTAATTCGCACGGTTGACTTTGACTTCTGACAATTATTTATTAATTATATATTATATTAATTATTATATAATATTTAGATTAAATGCAAGGGTGTTGATTTGGGTATAGACAGTTTGGACGTACCCTTATCCAGTGGGGATACCATGTGTGTTTTCGGGGGTGGGGGGGAGTCGGGGCCTAATTTGGTCCCAACTAATGTTTATTTTCAAACCAAACCTAGATTACTGTTTCCCAATCTGGCAACCAAAGTCGGTCCATGCTTTTCATCCCTCTGAGGTCCCTGCCAGACTGTCCACATGGAAGGGAGCAAAAATGTGGACTGTCTGTCAGGGAGCTGGAAGGGAGCAAAAATGTGGACTGTCTGACAGTCCACAAGGACCAGACTGGGACTGCCCTTTATTAAATTAAATCTAATTATTATATAGTTATTTAGTATTAGGTGATTAAATAAATACTGTGACTGGGTGGGCTTTACAGGCATTTTCATAACAACAGCCAATGAGAGCAGAGCACACTCTCTGACAGGGCGATGGCCTGGTATGATGCAAGGAAGCCACTGTCCGCTACGCCTTCATCGGCCACGAACAGAACAGTCATCAGGGGTCCCGAGGAGGTCAGCTCAGGGGGCCGGCTGGTGCCACAGAACCTGGGACAGGCAGAATACAGGTGTCTTCCTCATGCCTCTCTGAACCACTAGGTGGCGCCAAATACCAATCATCTGTGTGGGACACCCTGCATGTGCTCAAACCATGCACAGGCACCACATATATTCCACATGCCAGCTTTTGAGCATCACATGCAAAATGCATTTTTACATCTACATACAATACACATACACAATTCTTATGCTTTACATATCTGAATTTGAAAACAGTGACACTTCCGGTAGTCTAATATCTGTCTATTAGTGATGGCCAAAACAATGCTTCATGAACCATTTGCTGTTTTTTTTTTTACCCCAGTAGATTTTGCTGTTTGTTCAAAAAAGGACTCAAAGCATGCCCCAAATCAAGCCAAGAGCACCATCTAGTGGCGACAGAAAATACAGCAAATGATTCACGAGGCCTCGTTTTCGTTTTTGGCAGTCCCTACTGTCTATTTTTCTGCATTTATTACTACTTTGTCATGCTCGGTGTTCAAATATTGATTAATAACATTAACTTCATTAGTCCCAGGAATCAAAAAAGTTAAAGTGTTTTTGCATATTGTTAGCACCTTTGGTTTCCTGAAAAGCGCTATAGATGCACATAAAATTATTATTATTATTGTTATTACTATAATTATTATTGTTGTTCTTCTTCTTTTTATTATTGTTGTTGTTGTTATGAATAATAACAACAACAATAATAATAGCAGTAGCAGCACTAATAGTAATATTAATTTAGAGGGAAAAAAAATGTAAGCACGATGAAAGGATTAAACAACTGTTGACAAAAAGTGCTTTGAAGAGATGGCATCAGACCTGCCCAGTACTCTGCCATCCCCTGTGCGTCCGCTGTCGTGCACTTCAACATAATCAAACTGGCACGTCTCCTGACTTTCCAGGCTAAAGTTGTGGAACTTCAGACTGATAACATGACCCTCTGCAACAGTTATCTGCCACCTGCACAGCTAATAAATGAAGAGCGAAAGAGAGATTTGTGGACAACTGTATGAAATACCAGCAAGTTGAACAGGTCTGTGTTGGTAAGGATAACAATTAGCTTATTAGACAGGCATGTATTTACCCAATGGTGAGGAAATATGGTAACACTTTACTTCAGGCTTACTTTAATTACTTGTTTTTAGTAATTTATAAACACATTCGTATCAGACAATAATGGATTCATAAAGCATTATAACCATGGCTATAAACATTTATAAAAAGGCATAACACATTACAGCCATTGTATTATGCATTCTGAATGCCTTATGAAGCTCTCATCTATGATGCATTTTTGATACCTGTGTAATGCAGTACAAAGCCTCCTTAATGCTTATACTAACTGCTATAATGCATTATAAAGGTATCTATAGTGCATTATAGTTGAGAGTTTCAAAACACATATAATGCATAATACATATGGCTATAATGTTTTATTTCTGTTGATAAATATTTATAGCCATGTGTATAATGCTTTATGAATCCATTATTAATTGTCCTGAATGTGCTTAGAAATGACTAAAAACATGGCCTTAATAAAGTTTTACCGGGATGATTTATATAAAAGTATAACTACGGGTTTAAAAGGTACTGGTTTACCTGCTGGTGTGGGTAAGGTTTGGGGTGGTTTGGACTTGACAGTGATCCCGCTGTTCCAGTCATTTGCCCTCCACAGTCTATAAGCAAAAAAGTACAACGTTATTTGTAGCCATGCCTGAAAATACCCACACCCTCCCCCAAGGCTGCAGCTCACTGTACCTTACTATTTATCCATTTCCTGTCAGTCGACTGACAATATATGTATCCCACTCTTTATCCTGCTCCATTATCTATCACCATTGTTTACTTTAATGGACTACATACTGTATATGCAGCCTTTCCCCCTTGTTTTGCACTTAAAATTATCTTGAAACTCTCCCCTGTAGTTAGGGGACAGTATTTTATGCCACTTTATACCTCTATATGGATGCAAAGCAAAGAATTTCCTTGTGTTAATATAGTAATTATGACTGAATATCAGTTTGCATTGAAGATATTAAATATTTTACAGTGTCTTCATTCTTTAAAGGAAACAGAATAATATAGGCAATGTGTTGTGGAGTTTACTTAATTTGAAGTAGAACAGCAGATGTAATGGGCATTTGCGCATATCACACTGCTGTGTAAAATTTATGACACAAAGTCATTGTTTTTACAGTGTAGTGCTTCAATGCAGTGGTTCTCGAAGTAAGCAACACAGCGACTCCTAGTGGAACACAAAGGTATCCCTATGAACAATAGGGAGTCTTGGTTGGTCTTAGAGATGTCAGGCAGCAATTTGGAGCTTTGATATGTTTGTCTTCATAGTTACCCTGTGAGTTTAGGTGTGCTTCACCTTTATGTTTGTATTTGCAGTTGGCCTCGTCGCTGCGGTCCTGGCAGTTGGGCTGTCCGTCGCAGACAGACACAGGAAATACACAGCGCCCACCATCACAGAGGAATTCATCACGGAAGCATCCCTCTGAGCGTCAGCACACAGAGACACACACAGCTGTCACTCTTACAGAGATTGCAGCCTTTACAGCAACTGCAAACCACAGCTATTATAAACACTTAATGTTTAATATCATTAAGCGCAAATAAATTCTTCCCCCATTCCTAAAATTATATTCCAAAGCCTAAGATGTACACTAGTGGCAATAATTGTGGAAAGGCTTAGCATTTTTGGCATTACTCTCTAAAAATTACTAGATTAATATTGTTGGTAATGTTTGTAAATAATCAAAGAATGTTACAAATACCATACACTGGACACTAGGGTATGTTATCGGCGGAATCATAATTTCATTCACGGCTCAGGATGACAGCACGATATTATCTTTGACTAATAAATCCCCAAACTGCCTCAAATCTCATATGGCCTTTTTCCACACTTACCGTTATCTCTGTTTTTCCAAAGTACCCAAATCAGTCTATGCAATCTTAAAATTCTGCCCTTTCTGTAGTTACCCCAGGTTTAAATTAACCTCACCCTGCCTCCCCACCCCCTTATAATAATGTCCTCCAACTCCACGTCTATCATTCAGTAGAGTGCTTACTTTGGTGGGGCAAAATAGCCTGATACTGTGCGGTGAATCCACCACCCGCAAAGCTGCTGTCTGAACGGAATGTCACCCACACCGTGCTGCTGTTGGTGTTTACTGTAGGGGGCGCCACATTGCCACAAAATCTGCTGCGAAGGCGCCAGTTCAGGAGCACACAGATATATTAGTATTAGACAAGCTCACCTGATTTAATGCTTTGCAGTAACGTGTTTGCCTTTAAAAGATTTAATAGCAGCATTAACCAAAGACATATAAGCTTAAAAAAACAAATAGATATATGTAAGCTAAAAATTTATATATATAAAGACATATAAGCTAAAAAAACAGAGATGTGTAAGCTAAAAAATAATATATATATAAAGACATATAAGCTAAAAAAACAAATAGATATATGTAAGCTAAAAATGTATATATATAAAACATTGGCTTAGATGAACCTGGTGATGAAGGCGGCCTCCTCTATCTCCTCTCTGAGCTCCAGCCAATCAAAGAGACAGGGGTGGGGTCCCTCCACAGCCAGGGAAGACACACGCAGCTGGACCAGGGCGGGCGGGGGCACCCGGATCACCCACAAACAGAGGGTGTCTGGCGGGTAGGGACCGGGATGGTTAGGGGAGCTGAAAGAGCCAGCTGGGTCAGTGAGGATACCCCCACACTCTGGTGGCAGAGAAAAGGAAAAGAGAAGGGGGAGGAGCCAATGAAAGTATTTTACTGAGATCCAGCGCTCACAGAAAGTCGTGGGATGCTTGCTTAATTCTGTAACGATGTTGCAAATTTATTGGTTGCATAACAAAAGCCCATTGACAAGCAATGTTTAACATATCTGCGCATATCATCCGCACAGACAACGAATAAGGTAATGATTTTTAGAGTAAAACCAATATATTTGCAATTATTTGTTGTATTAAACAAGCGTCCCAAGACTTTCTGTGAGCACTGGACTTGTCTAAGTATCTTTTTTCAGGATTTTACATAACCAGTTTGTCAGGGTCAGCCCCTGCTGTGGTCCTTTCGTGTCCCTTCCCCGTTTGGCCAGCAGGTGTCGCTGGTCATCCCGTCCTTCATGTTAGTATTTGTTCTCCCCTATTCCCTGTCTTGTCATGTGGCTCAATGTGTTGAGCATCCAGTTGTGTGTACCCTGCTGTCCTGTGTTCTGCAGTAGTTGTTGTGTTGTCTATGATGTGTTCCGCTGTGTTGTTGCTTGTCTAAGCTAAGTTAGATCTGTTGTATGTTTACCTGCCCAGTTTGTTTCTTTGTGATTTGTAATGTTAGTTTATTCCCTTTGGTTTTTTGACCCTCCGTGGTCCTTTTGGTTTTGTTGTGTTTTCTGTTTTCTTCAATAAACCCCTTTTGTGTTCTTGGAGCCGCAAGTGGGTCGTCCGCCCTTTCTGTGCCTGCCTGATGCCTCCTCCGCCCTTTCTGTGCCTGCCTGATGCCTCGTCCGCCCTTTCTGTGCCTGCCTGATGCTCGCTCCCGTGCCCGAGCCGCCCGCATCCCTGACACAGTTAGACAATTCAGGGACATAGAAGCATCTCACAGGACACGCGGGGAAATGTAGAGACACAAATTCATCTAAACCACGTGGCTTTGGACTTCAGGAGTATGCATAGAGAATTCCGCACTCTGGAAGAAAAACCACATACACAGAGCAGTGATGGATAATAAACCCACAACCCCAAGAGATGTATTAATCACTGATCCACCCTTCATAGAAAAGTTATAGCTAAAGATCGGTCAGTCAGAAAAACAATCACCTCCTAATGGGTAATTCTGAACAGGACCAGGGGCTTGGAGCCGATCCCAAGCAGCACAGGGCACAAGACTACAGAACACTAGGTAGCCAAATGATGCTTCATGAACTATTTTTTCATGCTGTATTTTTGGCCCCACTAGATGGCGCTCTTGGTATGCTTTGGGGCATACTTTGAGCCCTTTTTCACTTTGAGCACCATCTATTGGCATCAGAAAATAGAGCAAATAGTTCATGTGGCTGCGTTTGGTCATCACTAGAGAACTCCATCACAAGACACACAGACACAATTTCAAGACACAAAGTAACCTAACTGTGTCAACATGGGCAGAATGTTCAAATCCCACCCACACCATAGTGGCAAGATTTGACCCCCTACCCAGGACGTGTGAGACAACAGTGCCACCCACTAAGGCGCCATTCCACCCATGACAAAAACCATGCTGTCCAAAATTACATACAAAATCCCGCTTGGATAGACTTACTAGGAGAAGCAACATCTACTTCCACATGTGAAACATCTGTGAAGTATGGAGAGCTAGATCTCGTGGGTACAGATAGGAGAACTCCACTCGATGAACCTAATGGAGTCATGATCACTTCTTCCTGAGCGTTTTCATCCTTTACGTCTGGGTGATCGCAGGAGAAGAAGCTGTAACCATTAAATCTGCTCTATGGCAGTGATTCCCAACCCGGTCCTTGGAGACCCACAGTTTTGCTCTGTCCCAGCTCCCTGTAGGAGGGAGCAAAAATGTGGGCTGTCTGGCAGGGAGCTGGGTGGAAGCAAAAACATGGACCGTCTGTGGGTCCCCAAGGTCCGGGTTGGGAAACACTGCATTATTGAATTAAATCCAAGGAATCAACAATTGAAACAAATGAATTAAGCCGGTTATTTAAGGCAGCACATAATTACATGTGGAGGTTTATTCTTCGTTTACAGTAACACTGCCCAGTGCCATTATCACCATACTCACATTGATTGTTCTGCCATGTAACACTGACAAACCTACACTGGACTCTGCACTTACTTATGAGGACGAGAACAAGGACCAGACCCATGACTGTGATTAACAGCAGGATGAACAGAGCCACCAGAATAGCCCCGCAGCCGCTGCAGGGTCTGCGCAGACGCATCAGGCTGAAATCGAGCCACCCATGCGCTTTTTGGAGTGGAATAAAATATAAGTGGATAACAAATGTTAAGCAGTGATCTGCATTTCATGTAACACACTCAAAGTACACTCAGGCCACTTAATTAGGTACATCTGATTAGCACTAAATAAAACACCCATTACCGTACAAACAGACTGAACTCTTCATGGAATGATATTGTAACTATGATTTACCATTAGGAGGAGTAAGCTGTTTGTGTTACCAAGCAGGTGTACCTAATAAAAAGGCTAGAGTGTATTACAGTATATATTTAGCAGTACATATATGTACAAACAGCATTTTCTTAATTCTTCATTGGAATAACAGCTGGAAATAAATCTCCAGTGAAAGTTATATACATTGTTTTACAAACCTTATTTTAATTCATAAATTACACAAGCAGGTACCCAATTAAACTGCTGATGAGTGTATATTTTATTCATCAGTTAGCATACTATACTACGTAATTCAGCTCACCAGTAGCTGGCCTCGACTCAGCATTAGTGAGAGATTTGTCCCATTCCCTGCTGTCTTCTAAATGACCTTCAACTTCAAAGGCAGGGTTGAGAAAAACACTCTAGATACATAAGAAACAGTTGAAATTACCGCTGAAATTATATTAACAGCAAAAAAGAAAATCACAGAATTGTACAGTTTATATGTCACATATTGCAACCCATATTTCACAACTGCCAATACCGCGATGTTCCTACCTTACAGATGTCAGATGATGATATTTCCACAGTGACGTTTGTGAGCTCCGTCATTTTGGTGGCAAGTCAGATTGTAAGATAATACGTCTATCTCAGGTTCCTCTCGGTGGCAATCTGTACTGTGCTGGATGGTGCGATGACAACGAACAATTAAAATGTTATTGCTATAACAGCACTTTGATGAAATTGTCGAGTTTTACAAACCGTTCGTTCTAAAAAATAACAACAAAAGAATGCATTTGATTATTATTATTTATTTTTTTACCGTTTTCCCGTTTGTACTGGGAAGAATCTCCAACAAAGTGCGTGAAGTGTAACCCCCCCCCCCAAATTCCCCCCTCAACAAAGCCGAATCAGCTGAGAGCGATGAATAGGTCAGCGAAAGGTTATTTGTACCATGAAATTCTCCAGATTCCGAGCTTCGCGTTTTTCTTAGTGTTCCTTCTGTTTCCAGAAATCTGTTATATTTTACCTAAATATTTTGTACAAAAAAATCGCCTTAAGATATTTTGTAAAATTCATTCTATATAATTTCAGTATTTATTTACTAATTTCCTTGTTTTTTGTACCTTTTGTATGCATGAGTGTCTTCCACAGATGGTAAGATTTCCTTCCATAATTTCAAAAGGTTTAGGTAGTGTGATGTTTCAGAATTTTTGCCCTGTGATAGATGGACAGCACATTCAGGTTGTGGCCTGTGGGTGGATGGATGGATGAATGGATGGAAATATTTTGAACATATATTTTAGTTAATCAGCCATAACAGAATATGTGAACCATGCTTGCCAAATGGTGGCACTGTAGCTCAGGTGGAAACCTCAAACGCTTTGTCCCTGTGGTGATCAGATAATCTGTGCCAAGGAAGACACTCTGAGCTACTTCAGCAAACTGTTTTAAAACTGAAAGGCTCCTAAATAGTTCTTCTTGTGCTGTGACTGGTTTGTTTCCATGATTGAAAGATTCATCCAGCTGTTTCACATTAACATTAGTGACACATATGTGATTATAGGAGACCGACCAATCAGCACACAGCAAGAATTGAGTGCTTAAGGGAAATCCAGGTTCTTTTCATTGAAATGGAAGTTTACAAATCCTGTCCTGGCTCAAAGTGTCTTCCCTGGCATGGATTATCTGGTCACCCCACGCTAGATTCACTGAAGCAATATTTCTATGCCATTGCATGCAAAATCTGCTCTTTGTAAAACTATCAACTGGAGAAATAATTTGTTCATCACAAAAAAAGAGGGAAACAGGTGCAAACACATTGTCTGCAAGAAATAAAGCACTAAAACACAACTACAGTCAAAGTTTGAGTTTACTTTTGGAAGTTAATGGGTAATCTTTTGTCAAATAAAAAGATAAAGATTGTTTCACAAATTTAGTGAGTTGGCAGCATAGATATAAAGATTTGGCGCTTGGTGCCTTGTTTACGAGAAATGATCTCCAAAGTGAGCACTGCGGGTCTGCTCTGTGCGGCCGTGCTGCTGATCCACAGCGGTGGTGAAAGTAAGTTTTTATAGTTTTACTTTGTTTTTTTAACTAAAATCTATGTAAACCTTCAATTTTAAATATGTTCTATCATGAATGCTGAATCAACTTTGCTTACACCTGTAATGAAAGTGCCATTCAAAAAATAATAATTTGTAGAGTTTGAATTAAAATTTAAATAAACCTATAGTAGGGCAAAAGTATCGTAAGTCGAAAATGCATTTTAATATAGTACACTTAACCTAACAAACATGCCAGCCTAACCTTAAACATGCTTTGAACACTTACTCTAGCGTACAACTGGGCAAAATCAATAACACTAAAACCTATTTTATAAAAATGGGTGAATATCTCATGTAATTTATTGAATTATTAAGCAAAAAACATTTACTTATCATAAAGTCAAAATATCCTTACACGGACCATCGAAACCCAGGGAGCGTCTGTATAATCCGCTAAACAATTGCCAGTAAAATGTGTACCAACTGTAAAATTTGAGATCCATATTTTACTGGCACTGAATTCTTGCTGACCTTGTACTTTGAGTTAGAATGCAACAACTATCCAATTACCCCATGGGGGTGTGAAATTTAAAGAAGTCTCGTGCCCCTGTGCAAGGTACTTTACTCTAACCACTCTCTGCTTTTCAGCACAGGCACAAGAAGGTGAAGAATATGAATATTTTGATTATGTGGAACAGCCAAAGAACTGCTCAGTGTCAGAGTCCATCGCAGGAGGCTGGGTGTCCTACTCACTAGGGGGAGCCGCAGGAAGTGTGCTGACCTACCACTGCAATGAGGGGTCCTATCCTTTCCCAGTGAGTGAGAGAGAATGTGCTGAAGATGGAGAATGGTCCACCATGAGGCTGCCCAATGGGAGGATGGCGTCCCAGGCAACATGTAAAGGTAAGGAGAGGGTCTTCCACAGCCAAGCCTATCACTGAGAGGTGGTGAAGTTTCTATTACTTCTTTTCAATTATAGCAGTGTTTCCCAATACACTCCTTGGGGACCCACAGATAGTACATGTTTATGCTCCCTCCCAGCTTCTGGGAGCTAAAATGTGGGCTGTCTGACAGGAAGCTTGGAGGAAGCAAAAACATGGACCGACTGTGGGTCCCTGAGGACCGGATTGGGAAAGACTGAATTATAGAGTTAAAATATTCTAACTGTAATCATTTCCTATATCCCTGTATTGCTTTTAATGTATTATTTTAAGTCACGTTTTCTAGCCATTTTTTGGCTCTTACTGTGACCTTTTCACCTCAAAGGTACTAAGATACATAATAAACAAATAGTCATGCACATGTGGAGAGCTCTGCTTTCTTCATTATCAGAGGTTCAGTGTCCCGCTCAACTCCAATTGGATAATGGTCAGTTCTGGCCTCGAAAGGAGTGGTTTCGTCCAGGAGAGACGCAGGAGTTCTTGTGCAATAACGGGTACAATCTGTATGGGTCAGCTCTGAGAAACTGCACAGCCTTGGGCCAGTGGACCGGTATTCTTCCCATCTGTGATGATCGAAGTAAGAGAACTTCTCTACTGTGTAACTCCTAACGCATCTATGGCTATAGCCAACACAATCGTATAAACCCGTCTCTAAAAATTCCACACTTATCACTGCTGAGTGGATCTTCAGACTTGAATTGTCAGAATGCACTTATATACTCACATCCAAACCTCCATCTCTCATCCAGCGGACGACTGTGCGAACCCAGGCACCCCCCCAGGAGCTCTAAGTTTTGGACACCGGTTCCGGGTCGGAGAGATAGTCAGGTACCGTTGTCAGGCAGGCCTGGACCTTTTGGGATCAGCTGAGCGGATCTGTCTGGACTCACTGGAGTGGAGTGGCTCAGAGACTCGCTGTATGGGTAAGAGCTCTGCTGTGTTTCACAAACACCTCTGTCTGAGCATAACATGCTCAGGGTAAGCAGTCGGAGTGCAGAGTAACAGCATGGTTTCATTTCAGAGTAAAGCTGAAAGGTTCTGTAGTCGTACCTGTAAGGAATATAATCCTGAGCTTCTCTAATACAGTGGTCCTCAAGCTTCTCAATCTTCTTGTCTGGAGGCCCCCTAAAAACTGGTCAAGTCTCGCAACCCCATTCAATATGTCAAATTTTTTTGAGGGTAGAGAGCTGTAATAAATCTCAGGGGGATGTTGGGGGGGTGGGGAGATCCCTGGGGATAAAATTTGTCAGCGGATTGGGGGTGGGTATTTTGCCAATAAAAAAAGATTAAAAGTAAATTCAAATAAACAAATATGTATCCTAATTCATAACACTTTACTTGAAGGGGCATAAATACTTAGTAGTAACTCAGTTACTACCAAAGTACAAATCAAAGATTGATAAAAGATTCATCATGATTCATTAATGGTGAAGAAACATGTCATCAGTATTTCACTTGTGTTATTCTTTACTTGTTCCTTCAGTAGTTAACAGTTACAAATATAGTTACTACGTGAGATAAAAGATGTCACAATTCATTAATGATGAACAAACAGTATGTAACTAAGATTTAGTTTGTGGTTAATTAATACATAAGTAATAGCATAATACTACATTATTTGTGGCCCTTTAAGTAAAGTGTTATCTACAAATTTGTATCCATTTTAGAGTAATTAAATGTAGGTGGAATACAGCGTCTCTGAAGGATATTCCTGTACTGAGGATGACAAATAAGTAAAAAAAATTATAATAAAAAAATCATTGTTCCTCCAACACCCCCCACACCTGCCCTCCCAGCTCCATTCGCCTTTGATTCCCCGGAATCTGTGGCCCAAGCAATGTCTGGCTCCTTCTCCGGCATCGTGACGGATTCCCCCAAGGTCAAGAAGACAGGTGATGCCTACATGTCCGGCTGCACGCGTGTGTGGAATACAGGCAAATACAGCAGAACACACACCAGCTTATATGATGTAGTGCTCTTGCAAATGTACGGCAACTGCGTCATGCATTCTCACAATAACTAAATGTCTTTGTATGTGTGTGTGGGGGGGGGGCGGTCTCTGGCCTGTGGTATGGACAGTCTCTTATGGCAGAACTATCCGGGTGGCCGAAGACAGCCTAAACATCTACATCTTACTTGACACCTCTGGCAGCATCACTAAAGAAAACTTTGAGCACGCCAGGAATGCTGCGATCAGACTTATACAGAAGGTACAGTATGTGGGTGAACTGCAGTGTAGCAATTCAAAACCAGTATGTACTTAATATTTGCCAACCTGCAATACAATTGATCCAATGTATCTTTTTTTTGGCCAGCATACACTTTATTTTTGCTGCCTGAGATATGTTTGTAAAATTCACTGGTTACGTTTTGGGAAAGTTTTCCTGTTAAAGTTACACAGGTGTTGATTGCGTATTTATCTTGCAGCTTGACAGCTACGAGGTTGAAATGAGGTTTCATGTCGTGTCATTTGCCAGTGAAGCCAAAGACATAATATCCATAACTATCCCATATGCAATCTCCGCGGATCAAGTTGTGGAACGCCTAAATGAATTTGACCATAAAGGTATATTAGTGGCATAGGACGGTCATTCACTTTCAATTACGAGGCATAGATTCTCTGTCATTCCTGAACTTATAAAGTTTCTTCTTTATCGTAACCTAAAAAGAGACACCTGTTGCTTTCAGCTCATGGGAAAAAGACAGGCACCAATCTCTACGCTGCCCTGTACAACGTGTACGAGAAAATGGCCATCCTCAAGAAAAACAGACCGAAATTCAACGAGACTCAGAACATCATCCTAATCATAACAGATGGTAAACATGAGTCTGCCACAAAATAGGATTTGAGAATCTGACCATATTTGTTCTGGATAAATCTTGATGACATTATCTGAAGTTATAAAAGTTATTAAAGAGCTACAGCTGAGCTGCATGGACTCTGAGGACAGCCCCATAGTCCAGTCTCTGTCACTTCTACGCTCACCAACTTTCTTTTTTTTTCCATTCTGCAGGTCACATCAACACAGGGAAGAGCCCAGAAGAGGTCCTTCGAAAGATCCGAATATTGCTGGGCATCAATAAGTACAGTGTGGACCATTCAGCTGAGAACTTCCTCGGTCAGTAACAACAGAATTCAATAGCAGATCTTGAACAGATTGATCACTTATTGCAGCTCAGCCTTTGCACTTTTTGGACACATCAATTCATAATGTTACACATGGACCTGGATATGTCCTAGATATGGACATAGACCTTTCTTACGTGGTTATCTGTCCCATCACTCATGTTTCACAGACATCTATGTGTTCGGAGTGGGGGGCAAAGTAAATAAAAAGCAACTAAATAACATTGCATCCAACAAGAGGAAAGAGAAGCATCTGTTCTTTTTGAATGACAATGAAGACTTGAAAATGGCATTCGACAAGATGATTAGTGAGTTTCCCTTCTTGTCTCAGTCATTAAATAAAAAACATTTCATATTGATTTAAAAGTGTAACCATGATTTTAAGTTTTCTTTCTTAAAATGTCTTAGAATGAACCATCATATTGATAAAAAAGAAAAAATGCTTTTTACATGCTTAATTGGTAAAGCTATGCTTAACTAATAATGATTTAATGCATGAATTAATACAAGAGGTATCATGAATTTCTGTTGCTCACTATCATCAGTAAAAAAAAGTTCATTCACAGTTACTTCATACATTAATTGATATGCTACCAAATTAGCTGGATTTCCTTAACTGATGACCCAGTGAGACTCATTACATAAAACCCCAGTGACTTCACCATTAGTTCATGGTGAGTAACAGGAACTCATCATATATCTTGTATTAATAAATGCATGAAGTCATCATTAGTTAAGTATTACCTAACTATATCATTTGTTGCCTTATCAAGTCTGACCATTTAATTAGTTTATTCAGACTCTGAATGCGTGTCTCCCCTTGAACAGGTGATTCTGGGGTGACCATGTGTGGTGTGGCACACGAGAACAGATCAAACAAAGAGGATTACACAAGGCCCTGGCATGTTAATATAATGGTAAATGTGCAAGTACAAATTTCAAATCTGCATTCATGGAGTGGCTAAATAAATAAGAATGTCAGCAGGTCTTTAATATAATGGAGCTGGGAGGGAGCAGAAATGTGGAGTCTTTGTGGGGCCCCGAGGAGCAAACTGGGAAACACTGGGTTAGATGATGGAAGGATGGGCTAATTCTACCATGTACATCTCCAGACTGGGGGGGCGGGGGTGTTAAAATCCTGTTCTTTCTCACAGTCCAGATAGGGGAATTGGTGTCTGTAAATTATCCATTCTGTGTACACCCTGCAATGGGCCAGTATCCTGTCCAGGGTGTCCCTTTGCCTTGTGCCCTATGCTGTCCGGGATACACTTCCCTTGCCCCCCCCTAACCATTTCCTGGATTTACAGTTGAAGGATGGATGGATATATTGCATACATATGTCAATATAAACCTGCCATAGTTGGTTTCCCAGTGCAGGGTTATGGTGAAATATATAAATATGTTTCATATGGTAAATGTAACATTTATTGCTGTACTTTTATTGTAGAATTGCAAGGGCTCTATACTGACTGAGAACTGGATCCTGACTGCAGCTCATTGCTTTACTCAAAAGCACGTGGACCACCCAGAAAGCGTGGATGTCGTACACGGTCTGAACACCAAACACTCATACTCCTCGTAGCCCCATGCGACTTATAATAGCCAAATGTGACTTATAATAGCCAAATATTGTACATACACATGCATTACTCAGTAGAACTGCACAAAAAACGTTTTTAATGAGGTCCCACAACATTATTCCACAAAACCTTAAAACAAATACATTAAGTTATAAAATCAGTCCAAATAAACGATTTAGAGGCGGTATTGAATATAATTCAATGAATAAATAATTATAATATTATTAAGTGTAAAAATTCAACATGCTTATCTAAAATGTTGGAGAAGCCCTGCACTTTGATTTAACTATAATTAATCTTATCTTTAAAACTGTAAGGATCAATTCTTGCAGAACACAGAAACATTAATTCCTGTCTAACAAGACAAGACGGATTATTTGTAAGTGCTGTCGAATTTCTCCACGCAGTGGCCACTTTGTTAGGTATGCTGACTTGCTAAATGCAAACATCCTGCACCTCCAGACAGTGAACGGTGTGGCTGCAACTTAATATATGCAGCATGCAGTGTTTCAGTTATTGTTCAGCTTGGCATTTAAATAAAACATGCGATCTGACCTATTTTAAACATGGCATGATTGTCGATGGTAGTTCTAGCATCTCCAAAAAATTCTCCTGGGACTTTCACACACAGCAGTGTGTTCACAGAGAACAGAATGATCAACAAAAATCATACAGGGTAACACTTCACGAGACATAAATAATGTAGTAGTACACGCTTACTTAATGCATTAATTAACCAGTAAATGTTTGTTAAGTACTGATCCCATGTTCATTCATCATTAATCACTCATGACAGTTCATGGATTTTATGGGGAAACCTATATTAGTTCATGATTTGTTCTTGAGTAGTAAATGAGTTTTGCCCCCTTAAGTGGTCTTACCATTATTAACTAATTAGTTAACTGTTAACAAATATAGTGCCTGAATGGAATACATTAACTGTCATGACTGATTAAGAATGAACACTTAGTATTTTGTTAATTAATGTGTAATTAATTAAGTATGTACTACTACATTATTCATGTCCCCTCAAGTAAAGTGTGGCATCATGCAGTCCTACCTGCTCTGACCTGCTCAATCAGATTTTTGTTATTAAAAACACACTGTTAATGAGAGAGGTCAGATGCGAATAGCTAGACTTGTTCAAACTAACAGGAAGGTCACAAGTGCAAAAATAACACTTCATCAGTTCTTAACAACTCGTAACAACTCATATATTATTGAAGTGATTCAGGAGGAAGAAGTGGATCCCAATATAGTCGTCACTAAATAAATATTTGAAATCATAGTGTATATTTGACATTAATACCAATTTGAGTAAAACACTAATATAATGCGAATTTCTGTGCGATATCTTTCAGGGAATGGAACGACTAAAGCAGCATCTGTGATTCTCCACCAGCAATACAACGTGCGTGGCCTCAGGCACAAGGGCGTGAAAGAGTTTTATGACTATGACGTTGCACTTGTTAAGGTGGCTCAGCGTATTAAACTCTCTGAAAAAGCTAGGTGAGTTGACCTCTGTGACATGTGCCACCTCTGAAGCAGAGGGTTCTGTGTTTTTCTGGAACCTGCAGGATGGTAATGACATTATGTCTGTGGCTGATCCTAAATGATGCCCTCGGTAGTGCAGTGTGTACAGGAAATGCAGTTTGCCACAGCTGTTGTTACTGTGCTGTCTTACAGGCCTATCTGTCTTCCCTGTACAAAGCCATCAAGTCGCGCATTAAAAATGAGTCCCAATGTAACATGTGAAGAGCACGGTAAGGAACTGGGCATTACAAAAAGCATACCTTCCAGAATATCTATGACTGACATTATGAAACATCTATACAGAGACTATCAAGCTTTACTTCGATTCAATTCAATTCAATTCAATTTAATTCAATTCAATCCAACTTGTATGGTGCATTTTCACAACATTACATTGTCTCAAAGCACTTTACATTATCCCTGCATAAGGCCCCCCAGTGAACAAAACCAGAGGTAACAGTGGCAAGGAAAAACTTCATCATAGGAAGAAACCTTGGGAGGAATCCGACTCAAAGGGGGAGCCCATCCTCCAGGGGCCGGCAGAGGAAGTCAAATGAACAAAGTCTCTTATATGTATTATGTGGGCATTACAAAATATATTTTACTAGTCAGTACTGGTCGACCCTTAGTGAAATTTAAAGGATTTAGTAAATACTAGCTAAACTACAGGGCGATGCAGAAGCTGACTGGTGTCCCTCTAAGGTTGGGTGACATGAATAACGTAGTAGTACATGCTTACTTAACACATTAATTAACAAGTAACTCATTAGTGCGAATATATTGTCCATAGCATATGTGTGTACTTGCCCAGCGATGGACTGGAATCCCATCCAGGTTGTACCCCAACATTTGTTTTTCCACGCTAATGTGAACTGCCAGCTTCGCCAAACTGCGAATGACATAGCAGAATGACCCAAATGCCTAAGAGACATAATCAAACCTGTTTTGCTGTGATAGCCGGTGCTCAGAAACATCCATCCCCATGTATGTACACTACGATGTTGGTTTACAGAGAATAGCGTGATAAAAAAAGTCAGGGGGAATTCCACATCTGAAAAGGCCGTGTTAGTTATTGTGGTCAAAGGCGAATTCACAGACTCATTAAAGCTAAAGGCCAGAACCACAAAGCTCAGTTCAGCAGTGATGGGCAGAAAGGTATCTCTGAATACACAAATTATCTACCACTGAAGAGCTTCTGTAGACTAGCTAGGTGTATAAGGTGTCCGTTGAGTGTATATCTGTTCATGTTAAGGATTTGATTGTATTATCATTATGTCTAGAATTTTACATTGCGAGATAAAATGCTACCATAGTTTCATCGATTGCCTGTTACAAGGATACAATGTTCATTCTTATGTGCTTGCAGAAAAAGCCCTGCTCACGTTGGAAGAGATACCAGCCTTCTTTCTGGCCAAGAAAGAAAAGCGCAAACAGGCGATCATCCACTTTGGGAGTAAGGTGAGGATCCAGACACATTTTAACCCCCCTCCCCCCCCAAAGTCTTTTGAGTCTGTTAGGTCAAATGATACAAAATTTAATGTCTGCCAGCCTCAGTGGCATCTGCAGCAGATAAAAAACAAAGGCGGCAGTGTCAGCCAATGGGATCCCTAAATGATTTAGCTTGTCTTTCATTGGCAGAGGCCGGACTGCATAAAGCACGCAGCTGTCACCTTTTCACCAAATAACACAGCATCCTTGGAAGACATTGTGACAGACAGGTTCCTGTGTACCGGTGGCTCAAAGCAATACGAGGACAGCATCACCTGCAAAGGTAACTAATAAAGCATGTCCACCAGTAGCTTTATCATACTGCATTGTTTTATTAAAGTCAAACAATGAAACACTAAAACAATGGTTCAATATAAAACAATGGTTATTATGTAAGCGGGTGCTGTACTACCTATAAAAGGAAATACAGAGCTGGAAAAAACTGAGACACCACAGCAACATTTTTTGTTTCACTTATTTCTCAATTCAGGGTGTGCATCTGTGAATAATATTCATATTTTTTGCAAACTGCAGCCTGGTTCTTCTCCATTTCTCATTAATGAAGGGCTTCTTCCCTGCTTTACTGGACTTCACTCCTGCATCTAGGAGCCTGATACTGTCCTATCAGTGCACTTCACACCTGCGCTTAATGTTTCCCATTCCTTTAGAAGGTCACTTGATGTCATCCTACGATTTATGAGAAACTGTCGAATAAGTTAACAGTCACCCTTGGTATTAGAAAGTCGCTCCTGTCCTCTACCTGGCTGGTTTCCGGTCGTTCCCAGTGTCTCCTGCTTCACCTTATTCTTGTGTCTTAGAAATTTTGAATGTGGAAGCAACCTGCTCAGCGTAGCCTCCTGCCAGCAGAACCAGCATTAAACCAAGATTTAAAAATGCAAACTTGTTTAAAAATATAGAGTGGTCTCTTAATTGTTTCTAGAGCTGTATATAAATATGCATTATATGGGCATTAGAAAATATACTTTGCTAGTCAGTGCTGGCTGAAGCCCATGTGGACCCCTGTGCAAGATTCATGACTGGAGGGGTGGGTTAATGTAGGGGTTTCATTTGGAAAAGTGACATTACACCGGCAGTATGCTAAGCTGTCATTAGGGTCCCCTCAGAAGATGGCTGTCTGTGTCACCTGTCGGACTTGGCAGTACAGTTAATAATGATCATTATGTGATACTAATGTTTGCTTTTTTTTAAAGGAGATTCAGGTGGATCTCTATTCCTTCGCAAGAGGCAACGTTATTTTCAAGTGAGACCTTTTCATTGCATTTAGAGGTGTTGTGAATCACTCAATATGAGCATTTCAGTGCTGTTTACTTAAATTAGATGGCTGAAATGTCAATAATAATAATAATAATAATAATAATAATAAAACACCTATGCTTAAAAGAATAACATGCATGAAAATTTTGCTTTTGACATAAAACTATGATGTTTGTTGAAATGTCATTAATTAAATACTCCATGACAGCGATGTGCATGTTTTCATCAAAGTTTCTCTTTGGGTCCTGCAGGTGGCAGTGGTGAGCTGGGGTACAAAGAACATATGCAATGTGGGAGATTCCGGCGACAGTCCACCTGACAACGCCCGTGACTTCCACATCAGTATCTTCTCAGTGGTACCTTGGCTGCAAGAACATCTTGGTCCGGAGCTTGAATTCCTGCCAACAAGCAAATAAGGAAAACACAAGAAAAAAAATTGTACATAATAGAGGATTCAAATATTTTGAAACTCAAATATGCATAATTCTGCCATAGTAGCCTATGATTTTGCTCTGTTCTTTATCTTTGCCTTTAAAAAATAAATATATATAGATGTATCTGTATCTGCTTTTACAGTAGTAAGCAAAAGTCTTAGGCGGCTAGAGAAATTAAGTCTAAATAACATTTATGTTGCTGCAAAACTATGATTTTTATGCCAATGAAAGTGGGTCAGCCTCCCCATCAAAATCTCTCCTGAAGTCATCCCAGTAGTTGCAGTGACCAGTTGATATACCCACATATTTAACCTGACCACTAGCACAACTTGCTTGGTTAATCAACACCTTATGAAGTTAATTAACTTATTAAGTTATTTTCTTAGGTGAGCTGGTGGTGAAATTTAACAGATACATGTAATGGCTGTGTAGCAGTTAGCAATGTTGCCTCACACCTCTGGGACCAGGGTTCGAGTCTCTGCCAGGGCTCCATGTGTGTGGAGTCTGCATCTTCTCTCCAGGTCATCGAGGGGTTCCCTCCAGGTACTCTGGTTTCCTCCCCAATCCAAAAACATGCTGAGGTTAACTGGAGTTATCAAATTGCCTGTCAGTGTGCACGTGTGAGCGAATGACGTGTGAGTGTGCCCTGTGATGGGTTGGCACCCCATCGTGGGCTGTTCCCTGCCTCGTGCCCATATGTTCAGAACCCCCCCTGACCCTTAACAGGATAAGCAGTTTCAGAAAATGTATGGACGGATGTAATAGCTGGTGGACTCCAAGGGAGAGAATTGGAAACTGAAGCTACACTTCTATTTATTTTTACTGACAGTGAGGCTTGTATCTTTTATCTTGCATCTTGCATTATCCATCTCTCTCTAATACACGTGAAAGCACTCTCCCAGACGTGCAATCTATAAATCGCAAATGATCGTGAAATTGTGCAGAGCTGAATGGTTTTAAAGCCCCACCTTTGAAATGCCCCCTAGGATATGAATGAGTTTGAATCAAAACCCAAAATGTCTACTTCATAATAACAAGCAGCACAAAGAAGAACATTAGTGAGGCTGAAATTGAGGTCCTATTGGTGAAGGTGCAAATGTACCTTTCCAGTCGTGTTACCACTATGGATATCACATAAGATACTAGACATTTAAAAATAGTCGTTATCAATACCAATGAAATTCCACGATTCTCAACACATAATTTAGCACCACGATAAAAAAAAAAAGAGAAATTCATGTAAATTCATGGTGCAACTTATATAATATCTTGCATACATGTGTTAAGTGTAAATGTTAAATATAAATGTATATGTTAAATATAAATGTTAAATGTAAATGTGAAATATAAATGTAAATGTAAATGTTCCATCTAAATGAAGGACTCGAAATTTCGAAAACTGCTTGTTACACCAAATACGGTAATTGGCCACGCCCCCCATTCGTGACGTCTGTATTTCCCATGATGAAGAGCTCCATTCGGTCCCACTCAAAATTGGGTCTGGGCGAATTACTAAAAAAAACAGCGCGATCCAGAGGGGAATTTTGCATTATGCTGTGGTCTTGATTTAAATCACAATCACTTTATTCACACACGTCATAGAACTCAGTGAAATTATTATGGCACAGATGCCGGGGAGTGCGCACGTGCATGGGGGAAGAATAGGGAATAAAACTGCAAACAGGATAAAGTGCAATAACAGGAGAGTGCAACAAGAGATGAAACAATGCAAAATGGCAAGTCAAATATATTCAGGGCGTATGTGTTTGTGCAGCTTTGGCAAAATACAAATACCACAGATAAAAGTGGAAACAAATATGCAAACATTACACATTAGTGTGTAAACTTCTCCATCTTTCTTGGCAAGCAACCAGATACTCATGAAGGTAACACAGTCTCCCTGGGAGCGGCTGACCAAGTGAGTTATAATAACAGCACAGCAATTCAATCGATCTGCGATTTACCTAAAAAACACATTCAGTTAAGTGTAATCAATCCAGATTTGCTGTAATATCAACGAAAAGCAGAGGGAGTCCTAACCCTAACCAGGCTCAGAGGGGGAGCCCATCCTCCAGGGGGCAGCAGGGAGAGTCAAATCGGAGAGATGGCTAAGTGCCAAGTCACACTGTCTAAGTCATAAAACGTGAAACATTATACAAACGGCACTCCACATACCAGGACCTTCATATACATGTAGTGGAGACAAAAGTACAATATTTGTCTTTCAAATGTAGTGGAGTAAAAGTCATAAGTTTGGGGAAAAAAGTAAAGTACAGATACTCGAAAAATGTACTTAAGTACCTTAACCAAGCAAATGTACTTAGTAACTCTCCACCATTGCATACATGAACCTACTGCATCAATAATACACCCTTTGGAGATGCACTAAGACTTTGGTTGCTTGCTTTGCTTGAGTTTTAAGTTTATCAGACTAATCCTCTTGTTTGGTCGTTTGCAGTAATGCTTACTTGATTAAGGTCAAAGGTCAGTCATGGTGTTCATTTCTCAGAATACACTCATTTGTTTATTTATTTATGTTCACATATAGCAGATGAATAAATTACAATGTGCTGTAAAGGCTGTGAAATTAATTCCATATTACTATACATTTCTGTTATATAAATTGCATTTTTTTTTTTAAATTTAACAAATGTTCCCCCCATATCTGCTTGGGGTTGCCTCCAGGTTCTCTGGAGTCCGTGCACAATCCAAAAAACATGCATGAATTGGGTCTTACCAAACATCCATAGGCGTGACTGTGTGATCTGCAGTGGGTCTTGGGTTATTCCCTGCCTTGAACCAGAAGCTTCCGCCATAGACTTCAGACCCCGGCGACCCTGCCTAGGATGTGCAGGTACAGAAAATGGATGGAAAATAAAACATTATGAAACAAGTCTGACCTGGTGCCCCTTTAATATTGAAACACAGAACTATTGTTTGAATGATGACCACACTAGAATTTGTATGGAAAGACTTGAGATTTTTCCTTTTCTTCATAAATGTGAAAAAAGACGAATAATTCAGTATTGTGTATTTGCAATGAATTTAGCAAACAGCTTTAAATGATCAACTATCACTACAAATGTCAATAGCAAGGTTATTTCTTAGATATTGGGACAGCAATATATACATTAAGAATAACATTATTCATATATAATGCAATGTAAACTTAAAAAGCGCAGATTGATTTAATCCTCAGTTTGCAGGCATTCTGTTCATCGACATCTGCTCCCTCCAATCATCCTTATAGACCGCATTGTTCCGAACACGATTCCTCTGCTTTAGTAGCGGTCCTGAAATTAGTGCATGCGTTTAACTCATTGACATTTAAGGTTAAAGCCCATACTTACTGACTCAACTTCAAGTCGGCAAAAGTCTCTTTCCAAAATATATGGCCACTTTACTTGTGAGTCATGCATCAATCATACGTTTTTTAAAAATAGATGAATAAATAACGCGTCAAAAATCAAGTTACAACAGTATAAATATATGTTGTCAGAGAACCTGATTAATTTGTAAGAATGTGACTGACAATGGCTTTAAGTTTGGTGGTCAGTTCTGTAACAGTCTATGATTAAAATCAGACGGAAAGCCACGTAAGGTCAAGGATTCAAAGGGATTGTTATCGTCAGATTTACAGACTGCTCCGCCCGCTACTTGTGTGAAGGCTTCTCGACATGCCAGGAATCAGTGCCAAGAAAATGTCACTTCCATGTACAACAATGTAGAAGCAGAGAAGAAAATGACAGCAAACAGAAAAGGGCCTTAAGCGAAGTTATATACAATGACGACAATAATTATTTTACGGTATATTTGCAATGTTCATTCACCTTGAACTACATAGCCCTACATAATAACATAAATTCCCTGAAATACTTACAAATTCATTTACTTGCAAGTGATATTGCTTATATGAAGAAATACATACAGTAATTACCATTAACTAAAGTTTTTTTTTGTCCATATAATGCTTAGTTCGGTTGAGTTACACCATTATATAAACTGTAGTACTACATCCAACAACAAACATCTATACTGTTAGTAACAGCAAATTTAAATTGGATAAACTACATACAAACAACATGGAAAAATATGCTCACAAATGTAGTATTTCATTCGGGTAAAAAAGCACAATTGCAGAGAGTAGCCAAAAAGGGCTGGATGCCTCTATCTGGCCTGTAAATTACTTAATTGGATTAATTAATCAGATCAGTATGGGATTATGACAGCTGTCTTTTCACAGCACAGCTTAGCTAAATGGATCATTTAATTTAATTGACTGTTAGTCTGAAATAAACGTCTTTTATTGTGGTGCCAAATTCTATGTGGGAGGGAATAAAAAAAGGCGCGGAAATGTGTTGTTCCGGTCTAATCCAGCTAGAATATTAGCTACAGTATAATCGTAGGGCTCATGTCACCTTTACTGAGCCGAGTTTAGAAAGAATCACCGGCCATGATGTGCTCTGAGGCCCCTGAAATATGCATACCCATGAATAGTGCTCCTGTACCATTCAGGATATTCCCTGTCTTGTTCCCTGTGTTTTCTGGAATAGGTTCCAGGCTCACATAGATCCTGAATCAAATAAGCAGTTATGGACGATGGATGGATGGTTGTGTAGACCAGTGTTTGTCAACCCGGTCCTTGGGAACTCCCAGACGGCCCATGTGTTTGCTCCCTCCCAGCTCCCTGTTAGACAATCGACCTTTTCTGGGAATCTGGGAGGGAGCAAACACATGGGCCGTCTGGGGATCCCTGAGGACCGGATTGGGAAACACTAGTGTAGAGTATCCTTACACCACCTGACCGGTTTGGCCGTCATAAGCTTCTTCTATGTTTCTATGATCAACTCTAGGATGTTCTGAAGTTCAAGGCTTACATTATGGGCACCATCTCAGAATAAACACCACTCATCCAGGTGTTTCCCATGCTAATTACCTCCAAAGTTGGGTCCAAAGAGAGATGTGACTCTCACATTTCACAGTTGATAAAACATTTACATATTCTTGTATATCTTAAGATAGTTTCCTACTTTTCTATCCAGTCGATTATCTATAACTACCTACTGCTCACTAAAACAAGATATTAGTTGGAACCATTCCAAATTTTTGAGGTGGATGTTTTCATGATGTTGTGTTGAAGACCTTCAGAGTTTCAGTTCAAGATCAAGTCAAAAATCTGAACAACTGTGTCCACTAGCTTACCCACTTGATCCAGTACAAGAGATGTAAATTAAGAAAGACCAGAATGACCCAAAAACGTGAGAAAAGCCTATTAGGGGATTAGGCATGTGTCTTCCTCAGAGATTTTTCTTGCTGGATATTTAGCCTTAATGAGCAGAAGATTAATTAAAAGTTTTAAAGGGATAAGCCAAAATAAAGCAGAGCACATGCTGCATTATGCACTCTCCTTTAACAGACACTTCCTAACGGACTAATGACATAGGTGTTGGTGTTAATCTTGCCAATACTCCCAAGCGCAGTATAAGAAGAGGCTTTTCTGGTAGGCTGTCTGCCCAGCGATCCATGGAGGAGAAGGAGGAAAACTGAAAGGGTACAGGAGACAAACAGAATTCCAGTGATCGAAAAAGAACGTCACTAAAGAGACACAGTGCCATTAAATTCAGATCTGACTCTCTGGGTGGTCTTTGGACATGGCGGACAGGGTGATGTTTTCCGCTAGGCGGCACCACGAGGAGGAAACTACGAGGGAGTCGATCTTTACCTACACCAACAACAACAACACAAGAGGTGAGACACAAATGTATGGCAACGGGATTGTAATGTAATGTAATGATTGTAATGTAGTACTTGGCAAAAGTCTTAGGCAGTCAAAAGAAATATCTAAAGCTATTTATCTGGATAGTACATGCACATTTGATGAGAACAAAAAACACAATTTAACATTTAAAAGCATTCCACAGACAAGGGGAAATGGAAATGGCGCGCATTCAAACACGACAGGCAACAGACAAAATTGTTTTTGTGTGTAGAATATTATAATTGAAAAACTCAAAAGCTCAAACACTTCACAAAAACAAAACTCTACTAATATTGCTTACACTAAAGTGTAAGTTACATAATTATATCTATCGTATGGTCTGTATAAAATAGTAATATTCGATCCTGTTCCTGGAGATCCCCCTGCCAGAAAGTTTTCATTCCAATCCACTCTGCAATAAACCTGCCACATTCATTATTAGCCTATTAAGGACCATCTGAGCCTGATTATGATAGGGTTGGAATGAAAACATTCTGGCAGGAGCAGGATTGAGAACCACTGCTATAACCTAAAGTAGGGGAAAGGCCATGTTCAGTGTGTATGCAGGCCAGTGTGTGTCAGGTGACTTCTCATAGTCACATAATTATTGTAGGAGCATGTAAGAGCTAAATAAGTTATCTAACAAATAGTTTAAAAAATATAGAGAACTTTTAGGAAGAATTTGTAAAAAGACACTGATCCATTTTCCATGACTACATATCTAGTACAGGGTCATGATGAATTGGCCATTCCGGAATGCATTCATCAGTTCTAATCCAAATCAGGAAATGGAACTGGAGTTGGAATTTAAATCTCCCTGAAATTCAAATTCAATTCCAATTCTGCCCCCCATAGCTTTTTTTTCCCAATCCCAACTCCATTTCCATTTCCTGATTTGGATTGGAATTAATGAATGCATTCCGGACATGTAAAATGTCCAAATAAATTCATTCGGTCAGTAAAAATACAGCAAGAAGTAAACTTAAAGAAGTAATTTTTTTCATAGATCCCTTTGTGGGGCCCAATTACCACATTGCTCCACGATGGGTGTACAACGTCTGCACCGTCTGGATGATCTTTGTGGTCATTGCTTCCCTCTTCACCAATGGCCTGGTGCTGGTGGCTACAGCAAAGTTCAAGAAACTCAGGCACCCGCTCAACTGGATCTTAGTGAACCTGGCCGTGGCTGACATAGGGGAGACCATCCTGGCCAGCACAGTAAGCATCATTAACCAGATCTTCGGCTACTTCATCCTGGGACACCCCATGTGTATATTTGAGGGGTACGTCGTCTCTGTCTGCGGTGAGTGGCTCTTTTTCTGACTGCAGGGACTTGGTCAGGGTCACATTCTTCTAAAATTGCTATATTTAGTGTGCAATATTCTTTTCCCTTGGCTATAAATATATAAAGAGACAGAGACCCATGGAACAGCTGCAACAATTATAGAGTAAATGATTCTATTGAGAGTCGAAGAATGAATATTAGAAAGCTGAAAAAATTCACCTTTAAAAATGAACCAAGGACAGACCTAAAATTCTTAAGTCTAGACTGCGAGTGAAGCATAATTTTGTGTTCATTATATGTAATGAAGGTAAAATGGGAAAGAAATGTAAAGATTGATGTGCAAGAAAAGAACAAATATTGGTCTTGGTGATTAGAATTGAGAGGGAGTCCTTATTGTTCTGGGGGATGCCTATGAGTTTAACTCATACACCAGAATGCCAGGTCTCATTAGTGTTAGGTTATGATCCTTTTTAAAAGTGCACCTTTGCATAGCAAACTTGAGGTAGACTCAATCAATACTTCTAAAGGTTGTTTTCCAGTCCAAATACTGTCAACAGATGATTTAGCAGAAACTCACACTTTGAGGGGACACAAATAACGTAGTAATGCACTCTTACTTAATGCATGAATTAACCAGTAACTAAGGGGTAGTTACATGCTGATCCCATGCTTGTTCATCATTAATCAACCATGACAGTCCATGTATTTCATTCAGGAAATATATTAGTTGCTGAATGGAATAATTAACTAATATAGCTCCTGCACAGAATACATGACTTGTCATAATTGATTAATGATGAACTAAGTTAATGGTTAATTAATGTATTAAGTAAATGTGTATTACTACATTATTTGTGTCCCCTTAAGTAAAGCGTTACCACAGAAACCTTATTGAGCCCAATACAATAATTAATGGTTCATTTCAAGTGGTTCAGTATTGTAAGATTAATCAATCGAGAACGTAAATAAACTCCAATTTGCCTGCACAGGTATTGCAGGTCTGTGGTCCCTAACGGTGATTTCCTGGGAGAGATGGGTGGTGGTCTGTAAGCCCTTTGGAAATGTGCGGTTTGACGGGAAATGGGCCACGGCTGGTATCATCTTCTCTTGGATCTGGGCCATCCTCTGGTGTGCACCTCCCATATTTGGCTGGAGCAGGTATTGCTGAGACAGAACCCATTTAAACATTTTAAACAATATGGCAAAGAACTGGCGAACTTTTTTGTTTGTATTTATACAATGACAACCATTGCTGGGGAGGGTTGACATTTTTGGTTATCATATTAAATGCAGAGGACATTTTGGTAACACTTCACATGAGGGGGCACAAATACGTAATGATAACTGTTACCCTTGAAATACATATTATGAACAAATATAGTTGCTCCTTGTCATAAAAGATGCACCGTGATTCATTAATAATTTCACTTGTGCTATTTTTTACTTGTTCCTTCAGTAGTTCACAAAGGTTTACAGAATTAACAGATACAGTAACAAATACAGTAATTACTTGAGATAAAAGATGTCCCAATTCATTAATGATGAACAAATATGAGATCAGTATGTAACTAACGATATAGTTAGTGGCTAATTAACACATGCACAAGTAATAGCATAATACTACATTATTTGTGCCTTATCTAGTAAAGTGTTACCAAAATTTGTGATTGTTATACTTTTCTTCAAATCAAAAGCGAAAAGGTGATTGTTGTTCATTTAATCCTTCAATTAACAGTAATAACTTGCTGTTCTCCTTTTAATCAGGTACTGGCCCCATGGACTTAAGACTTCCTGTGGGCCAGATGTCTTCAGTGGCAGCGAGGACCCTGGAGTGAAGTCCTACATGATCACACTGCTCTTCACGTGCTGCATCCTACCACTGGCCATCATCATCATCTGCTACATCTTTGTATGGTCGGCCATCCACAGCGTGAGCAGAGCTGCCAGTGATGAAGCGAATTTATCATATTCACAGTCTCTCTAATCGACAAATACAGCAGCATTGAACCAGCACTAACCAATGGAAAATTGATAGCAAGCAGGAATAATAAGACAAAACAGTACCAGGAAAGAGACCTAGACAAAGAATGTTTAAAGTTGTTTATCTGTGTAGTAAGGATATGTTTGTTCAGGGGAAAAAAACAAATTTAACATTAGGACATACGTAAATTAACTTCCAAGAATGTCTTTTCTCCAAATAGTTACAACTTTTTGGATGGCTAGATGAACACTGCTTCAGTTCCCAAACCTCTCTCTCCTTGGGGGCACCTCAGCTGTTCCATGTATTTGTTAAATTTCACCACCAGCTCATTTATCAAAAGGGCAACAAGGTCTTGATTGGCCATACAAGGTGTGCTAGTGGTCAGGTGACTTTGGTGCACCGTAGGTGGCCCAGCAGCAGAAGGACTCGGAGTCTACGCAGAAAGCGGAGAGGGAGGTCACCAGAATGGTGATCGTCATGGTCGTGGCCTTCGTCATCTGCTGGGGCCCCTACGCTACTTTCGCCACCTTCTCCGCCTGTAACCCGGGCTATGCCTGGCACCCGCTGGCTGCATCGTTACCCGCCTACTTTGCCAAGGGTGCCACCATCTACAACCCAATCATTTATGTCTTCATGAACAGACAGGTCAGTCTGAAAAGCAGGTCAAACTTCACCAACATGTACTGGGTCAGGTTTCCAAATACAAATATCCATTGATTGACTTTGACTTGCATATGCAAAAAAAAATCATAATGGGAGATTTAAGCAGTAATTTCTTTCATCTTTCTTAGGAAAAAAATGAATAATTTGTCCGCGTTCGTTCTTCTCTTCTCTACCTCTTATAGTTTCGTAACTGCATCCTGCAACTTTTTGGCAAAAAAGTAGAAGATGGCTCTGAGACAACCAGCAGCAATGCTACAGAAGTCTCCAGTGCCTCCTAGACCCACATCCTCAACCTGCCATGGTTCTTCACCCAGTCCCACAACATGGATGTGATGATGATGATGATGAAGGAGCTCATACTGAACTCAGAAATCATTTGCGTCTCACTGTTTAAGGATTATCCAAATCATTAGCTGCCATCCAAGGAATTCCATTGTGGCACTAACCCAACAGATCAGAAACTGATGTGCAATTTCAATCATAATCAGTTTTTAAAAATCCATACCACCTAAATTAGGAAACGTGGTACATTTCCTGTAACTGGGATGGGACGACGCAGATCACACCTGTAGTTTCATTCATACTGTTTTGATGCATTGCTTAAGTTCCATATAACTGACATGAATGCAAATTAAAATAATAAAAAAAACTATATAATAGCTGCCAGTATGTACATGTTATTGTATTTTTTTCTAAAGCAATAAAATGGCAAGAAATTAAAGGAAAAAAATATATTTCTTTTGCCCAATGGATTTTTCCCTGGACAGCACGACAAACTGCTCTCAGATCTACAGGCAAGCATTCTCCTCATACAACAAGGACTAAATACCTTTGTCAATACAATTGATCTGATCATGGGATTTTAAGCAACACAATTATGTTCCTTCACAAATTCCATACTTGCCGCAAATGTCCACCAATGAATGTCCTTTTTAAGCAACACGGTACAAATGGCAAATCACTTTACATGCACTGGTCTGGGATGGCCAAGAACTACTGGCTCAGAGTAAAATAAAGAGAATCATGTAGGATGAAGTGCAAAGCATGCGGAATATCCTCCAGATTCCAAACCATGAATGCAACAGTGGAAGCTCAGACCTCTTGTCTCTCTTTTGCCAATTCATTGGAAATGTTCTGCTTCCTACAGCCTCATATGACAAGGGAACTATGAACAAGAGAATTAACAAATGTTGTTGAAAGGCAAATTTATTAATTATCATTGTACAACAAAATACAGATGGACAGTCTTTTCCCCCCAAAGTAATTTCGAGAATCTTATAAGTGACAGAATCCATGCGATTTTTCTAACAATTTGTTTTATCCGCCATTACTGTACTGAAAGCTTTAACAATGCTGCCTTCTCTCATTATAAAGGGAGTCCTATTCTAAATACTAAAAGACTGACTAGCTGGAGGAGGTAGTGTTCAGTGCCCAAAGTCATTCTCTTTCTATTGGGTGGGGCAATAAAAATATGCACCAATCACCCTTCAGAAAACTGCCTATAGAGAGCCTCCGATTTGCTGTCCAGGAAACTTGGGACAAAGTGTATTTGCAAGATCTCAGAAAAACCCTCAGATAGACTTGGTGCAACAAATTTGTTCCTGCAAAGAGAGAAGAAAAATCCTTTGATGAACTGACTCAGTAAACCAGAGGAAACACTTATATAGATAATTGATGACATTGTGATGTTTATTAACAAAGATCAAAAGCTTTTCCTGTCAATGCCTAAGTACCCTAACTGAAATGCCTTTGAAGTAAATGACATAACAATGTTGCCAATTCAATATATATTGATATCCAATAATTATCCAACAATCAAGGACAATAGCCATTTACTCACTTGTAGCTGTGAAAGATCATGTCGTTCACAGTGGCATGTTTCTGCTCGGACGGCATCATCTCACGGAACTGCGGAAGACAAAGCAGCACGAGATGAGTCGGACACGTCAACAGGGGGCATGAGTGAGCACTGGCAGGACCGGGTCCAGTAGGGGTACCGACCCTGTTGTTGTGCTTGGCCTGTTCCAAGGTGGCCGAGAAAAGGAAGCAACGACAGGCCACTCCCATCTTCTGACAGACATCCACGTACCTGAAGGCAACGAAAGAGGTACAGCCGATGGTGAGGAAGAGGCCAAGGCTGCAGAAACAGACAAAACGTCCCACGAACAAACAGAAAAATGTGCAGGAGTTCTGTATGGTACCGTTTGCGGGATTCGGGGTCAGGGTTGGTGTTGTCCACGGCGACACTGCGGCCCTCCTTCAGAGCGCGCTCACAGGCTGAGACACAGTTCTGCCACGACCCCAACGTGTCCTGACAGCGGGGGGGGGGAAGCTGAATCATTCAATCAACACCATGCCACAAAGTCACTCTCACCATGAGCCTGTACTGGATTAATTATGGAGGATGAATATATGTATCATTCCCAATGTATTCTAGAAATGCCCAATTGATCAAAGTGAATGGCTGTTTGAAAAAAGGAACAGAGAAAAAAAATTCCTGGAGGTCCCAGTTTCTCAGTTCTATCCCACAACTCTTTGCTGAAGTCAAAAACATTTCAGGAATATGATACCCATTGTCTGATGTGACTGAGAATTATATCATAAAACTGGGTCTCTTGAGCTGCACTGCATTATAAAATCTACACATAAAGTCACACCATAATAGTGTATTCACCCCTCCCCCGCAGCTGCAGTGACACAGTGAATGCCAGGCTGCCGATTGTCACATCACTAGCTGATCGGTAGGATTTTGCTGCCCAACGGCGCTTTAAATAACACAGCCCTGATATGTGTGTGTGCACTTGGACGCTGCAGAACACTCCCTCACCCTGTTCACGTATACATAGCCCTGCGGAATGATGTGTTTCTGGAAGAAAGTGGACTTCCCAGCTAGGAAAATAAATGAAGAAAACGTTATACGAGGGCAGGAGAGAAGATGGCCTCAACATCAAGGCAATCAATAAGATTAACATATAAATAAGACTTTAAAACCTACAAGCAGGAAAACCCACGGCAACGATCACTTCCTGCCGAGGAGAAGTGAGTGTAGCGTCAGGTGGGTCGTACAGCCGGTCGTTCGGGTCACACGCCCTCTGAGCAGAGTGACGAGAAGCATGACGCTCTCAGTTTGCACACTAACGGCGCTGGAGTAGCGCTTTGCTGTTTAGAGTTCCACACCTGGAGCTTACCGGGTCGTAAGGAGGAGAGCTGTAGGGGGCGACCTTCCAGCCCAGGAAGAACTCCTCTGGAGTATGAAACTGCAGCCCGACGTTCAGGGCAAACTAGCAAAAATAGACAAGAATTAAGTCCTCCACAAACTGACAACTAGCAAGGTGAAGGACCACTTCACCAGAGCTTGTAGTTTTCTCCGCGCCTGGGACATGGTCTGCAGTAAAAACAACCAGACAGGAGATGGTGACCATAGCAGTGTGAGATGTTCCTGCTGTGAAGTCTCTTACCAGTCTGTCACTGCAGGAGAAATCTTTCTTTTTTTTGCCTGGTGCCCAGTTGGCTGGTCGACCGGCAGCATCTGCAGACAATCATCAAAGAATAGACTCTCTATCTATATAGATGAAATAATGCCTTTTTGTGCTCCCATCAACCAATCCCCAGCTTTACTCCTACACTGAGCTCTTGGTTTTCTTCACACTGATGTTGAAATTGTTAGACTGTGACAGCAGGCTGCCTTACCTCCAACGTAGAAGCTCTGGGCTTTCTCAACTGCTATGCCATCATTGGCCTGATATGGAGGAAGAGGAATGTAAAATTTCACGCATCAAAGGTGTAACCAGCTGGACCGTCTCGAATCCGAAACCTGGTATTGTGTGGGAGTCTCTTACCTGTTTACACAGGTAGTCCCACATTCCCAATACTGGCTTCCTATAGATCCCAGGGCCGGCCGCGACGAACACCTGGAATGTCAACATTACGGGAGAAATCCCAAAAGTCATCATAAACATATATCACTTAATTTTGATAAATGCGACGAAAGTGCACATATCAGTCAAAGCTAAATTTGCGCCGGACCTGAACTGGCAGCTCCAGCGTGCTCAGCACATCCTCCACTTTGGACTTGAAGACCTCAGGCCTCTGCTTGCCCCGGGCGATGCCCAGCTGATTGGTGAAAAACACCACCTAGTGGAGAGTGACGGAAACACAAAATGTCCATTCAGTGTCACACCTGAAAGGTCTTCTCCGACTGCTGGAGATGACTGATAGCGTGATCCTTAGGAATATTTGACAGCTAGATCATTAGATGAGACTGATGAGGGAAAGTGAAAGGACCACAAAGGTACTAACCTTATAACCGTCCTTTATTAGATTAGCCAATTTGGGCTTAATCTCAGGGTACAGAATCCTGCAGGTGAAAAAAGACAAACAATATATTAATGAAAGTGGTCAAGAGGAACACAAGGGGACAGGCCATTCAGCAGACCCACCTCCAGTCATCTGGACTTGTTGGAAACACTTTGCCTGACTTGGTGGTGATGATGCAGCCGTCAAGATCGAAACCTGCAATCTGGACATAATGCATTTCTGTTCAAACACATCTGACCCACTAACACAGCATTTCCCAAATCAGTACTCAGGGAACGGCAGACGGTCTACGTTTTTGCTCCCAGAACAAAAATGGGGACTGTCTGGCAGGGAGTTGGGAGGGAGCAAAAAAGTGGACTGCCGGGCAGGGAGTTGAAAGGGAGTGAAAATGTGCACCATCTATGGGACTCACCTTTTTCCTGCCAGTAACCCCCTTAGCAGTGAAGAGCATTAGGTGTCCGATCTGTTCCCATTGGTCACGGGAGCAGGGCGAGGCACACGCTGTTGTTTCCGCGGTTCTGTGGTGGGTGCTTGCACTTTCTGCTATCTCTTGTAGCCTCTTCAGCTTCTCCTCGATGAGGCTTTCGGCATCCTCCTCCCCACTGGACGGCTCGGTCTTCCGCATTCGCTTGGCACTAAAGTCGTCATCTTGGCTGGAAGGCCTCTTGACACTCTAGGTGATTTCGGATAGTTAACTTGCTTTATTTCTTATTGCTCTACAAAATTATTTCATGAATTCTCCTATAAATGTTTCCAGATTAAATTCTGCTGAGCAAAAATTCCAACTGTACAGGCAGTCCCCAGATTAAGAACGTCTGACTTATGGACAACTCATACTATTATATTAAAAATACAGGTTAAATAAAATGTTTTGTTACGCACTACACTGTAACGCTCATGAAAACATTGTGCAGCTTCAGCATTTCGTCGGCTCGAGGTGCAGTACATTACCGTATGTGGTTTCTTTTATTATTACAGTATTATTATTATTATTGTTATTATTATGCACCGTGTTATTTTTCCGACTTGCCTACAAATTCAACTTAAAGACAGACTTAGGCAACGGATCTTGTTTAGAACCTAGGAACTACCTGTACATCACAATCATAAAATTAATTTTGACAAATTATGCTCAAGTCCCCCACACTCACATTTAAAAATATAGTAAACTCTTCGTAATACTTAAAAATCACTACACAACAAATATCCATCAATTGATCTTCCATAGACAGCTATCCAGAACAGGGTTCTCCCAATAAGCACAAAGCAGGGGACACCCAGGCAATCCGTCAGAGGGGACACACTACCACGCAGAATCACATACGAAGGGCATTTCAGAGACACCGATTCAACTACATGTCTTTGGAATGTGTGAGGAAACCTGCATGAATTCGGGAAATACGAGCAAACTCCATATACTCTGGGTTCAAACCCCCCAGCACCGTAGGGACGATGCTGATGGTCTCACCATTAAGCCCCTGTGCCAAGTCTGAGGCTGAATCGAGGTGAATAGAAAAACAGAATATATTCCTGTAGCTTGGTTTGGGATACCTTTTTAGGAGAAGGACTAAAGAAATCTCGGATACTGCGCTTTTGGCCCTCTCTGTGAGGCTGCTGCTTGCTCATCTTCACTTTTCCCTTTGGAGTTACAGGCGAGGAACTTCCACTGGGGCTGCCAGAGAAACGCACGGTGAAGGGGTAACTTTGATTGACGAGGTAGAGTGTCACTCCTTTTGTCAGGCACCCAGATTTCCCCCTACCCAGGGCGTGGGCGTCCAGGGAGGAGGGGTTTGGACCAAGCTGTGATTCGCAGACATGAACATGGAGACAGATCAGGGCTGATGACTGACTCATTTTAAATAATGCATAACTTTCATATTTGCATCTTTCTACTATGTATATGGCACAACACTGATTTAGAGGGTTTTATTCATAAGTACCTGTGTCACAATCACTGACTGTTCTTCATAACAGGCCACCAGCTTAACTGTGGAAGAAGACAACCCGATAGAAATTAACATTGGCTGATAGCACTCATGAGCATTTCCTTACGTGAAGATCCAAATGAATCTGCTTGCTGGTGAACAGCCTCGGGCCCACAGTCACAGCTCAGACTCACCCTGGTGTCTTGAGCACTTCTTGTCAGACACCCTGGAATCCAGGCCCCGGCCTAAGATTAACGCCCGTCCATCAGCCAGCGGCACACTGGCTCCTGCCTCACTAACCAGCATGCACTGCATCTATAAGGGGACAGAGCAGATTCCAGTACACTGTGACATACTTGTGAAAGCTGGAAATACATTTTTACATTTTGGTGGTGAATCAAACACAAACAATAATTAGGTAATTTGACCTATAGGACAAAGATTGCAAGAGATTAAATAAGGACCTGCATTGTGTGAATTCTTGTTTATCCCTAAATTATTGTCAGGGATTTTCTTTCATATACATTATAGTCCTTGGTCAGTTATTTCTCTATCCTCAGTGGTTCTCACTTTGAACTACATACATTGCCCTTAGTCCCTGTCTACTCCATTAAAAGTGCTTCCCTGTCTTTGATCTTCTTGTCTTCATCTCATTCCACCCGATAACAGCTTGTTTAAAATCAAACAACTCTGACTAAACAAAGCCAGTTCAATTTCTAGGCTGTTTTAAATTAACTTGATCTGTTCTTTACCCTGCAGCTGTCTAAATTCTCAGACTTTGTACAATTGCGATAATCCAGAGCTATCAGAGAAGGCATGGAAATTGAACACCATACCAGTCCACCAGCAGGTACCCAGACTAATACGTATATGGTAATGTAAGATTACCAGTACCTCTTTCATGCCTTCAGAAAAAACTGATGAACACTGGGAGAATATCCATGCTCTGCACACATATAGCTGGGTTAATTATCTGTTGATTAGGCTTATTTTACTGTTATTACGTTATACTCCGAATCTGCTTATAAAGTGGCAACTAATTATTACAAGTTACCTTTTGAGGATATGTAGTATTTCGTCACAAGTGTGGTTTATGCACCGTTTCCCAACAATGCAAATCAAACCTTCGACTTGAGAATGACTGTTTTTAAGTTTAATATTCATATCGAGTAACCACGCTTATAACCTACAGTTTTCTGCGTAACCGATACGCCGAATACTGAGAAAATCCAATAAAATAAGCTTATTTATAGCTTGAAAGATAAAGCGACAATCTGGCTAACAAATACTGTCATATAATCCGTATATATAATATCTTTTTATAACACATCTATAACCCTTCTATTTCCAACCAAATGTTAAATACAAAAGTCATTAATTTCGTGAAATGGTAACTATACTTGCTTTTTCAAGAAATGCTAATTAATTCTACTAACATGTTTAAGAATATTATCAGCCAAACATGTAATAGTACAGTCGGATCCTATATTTGACTTCACATTCGATCACATTTCCAAACAAATTTACTTTGTTTTTATCCAACTATTTAAAAATACGTTTACTCACCGTATTAGGTACGTCACGGAAAAAATTCCCTGTGATATCTGAGACTCGATATTTTGGTTCCGACGTAAGGCATTGAGTGTCAAAGATAGTGTATTTTCTATTAAAACATTATTTCAATTTATAAACTTTGTAATAAAACACACATTTCTTGTATTACAAACCGTCGGGTGTTTTTACTCTTTTAGGCAGAAGTTTACAAAACGTTTGTTAATTTTAGGTTATATTTTTAAAGCACATATTAACAGCTACTTAAATGCCAAGTTACCACAATATATGTACTTTATTACAAGATGGTATGTGACAACCTGTAAATAATGTAATGATGTAAATAATTCATTATCAATGATAGTCGGAAAAGACTTGCTTATCTCTTACAAGACAATAATCCACGGTTTTCTGGTCAATTTCTTATGGTGAATGTTTTGTCTGTCTTTCTGTTAAATATTAACGTGCACATTGCACACTACATTGTTAGCATCAGCGTTTTAGTGTTTATACCAGTGTCCAAATTTTTTTACAGTGAGGGCTACTTATTTACAGAAAATACGACAGTATTCTAACTGGGAAGAATGGAAGATGCATCGCAATCGACTAAAATGCCTTTAATGATCGAAGGTTGGGCTCCACTGGTTTACACCATTAATGAGAATATTCATATACATTTAATTAAAACTGAACTGCTTAAATCTGCAACCGAAGATAATAAAATATCAGGTTCATTCATAATTCTGTTTATGTGGAGTGTGGTGGTGAGGACATATGTAGATTATTTATTACATTTGGAACAGTCCATTATGGACACATTACAGGGTGTGCCTTAATTGTTGATAGATAAAAGCATCACAGAAAAATGTAAGATGCATTCTTGCTTGAGGGATGGTTTCTGCTTGCTTTAAACTCAAGTATGTACGGAGCTTTAATCCCCGATAAAGTAGAAGACCCACAAGTGACAAGCTATCCGATTTACTTTAAGTTAAACATATAGTTCTCTTAGGTAGGCTAACTATAACTGAATACTATGTGATTAAACAATAATCTAGTTCGCGTATACGGCTAAGTACCAGTGAATTGGAAAGACTTGTGATGTTGAAAATAAATCTTGTCTGTCTTAATGAACAGGCTATAACAAAAGAAAGGTAACCAGGCAGACGCGCCATAAACTTTCATTCAAAGGGAAAAAGTACAGTGCGGCTTGCGATGAATTACTGTATGTTTTTTTTTTTATCGCAATCTCTTTAGGATGACATCACGCAAATTAAATCGATTAACCTAAAATAACAAGACTTATTGTAACTAGCTGTCTTAAGGCTAATCCAGCAACACCTGTTTTTATCATAACAACATCACATTGCTTGGCAAGTACTGAAATCCAGGTCCTATTGTATTGATTATTGTTCCCTTGCACGCACGCCAACATCACCCCACTGCTATAACGGGTGTATGCCTTAACAGCCACTGGAGTCTAGTCACCTGATGCAACGACGTAGAACAGAGTTTGCTAGTGCTCCCCCCCCCTACTCCCCTGAAACTATTCCTTTTGGTGTTTCCCAACTATTTTGTTTCAAGAACCCCTGAGTAGGATTCCTTCTTACTGCAGGTAATGCAAGTTAGTATGGTGGTGACAGGTAAAATATGAAAAATCAGGAAGCAACGTTCCATTAGTTAAGGTCGTTGGTTGAGAATGCGTGAGTTATGGAGAGTCCTGATGATTTTCGTTGGCATAGACTAGCAAATGTCTGGCAGATTTTGAACACAATAACTGCATTTGTTCCTACATATAAAGTTGTAGGAAATTCAGGGATTGGTAACCCTGATCCTGAAGTGCCAGTATCCAACGGGTTTTCTATCCTACCTGGTCTTTGATGAACCACAGCTGATCTAAGGCAGATGGTAACATCAGGTAGAATAGAAAACCTGCTGGATGCCGGCATTCCAGGATCAGGGTTGCCTATCCCTGGTACAGGGTTTCCAAATGAGTCGGTTCACCTGCAAATTCATGATAAATGAAACCAGCAGTGACAGGAAAAATTAGATTTTATAACCCACACTAGGTGTAATTATCTTTTGCTCTAAAATCACCAAAATTTGTATCTCCGTGCATTTATTACTAATAGGCAAAAACAAGAGATAATTGAAAATCTGTGGTTAAAAACTATACATTTCTCTCTGAGCTACAGGAATTTGCTTAAAGATAATTATTAATGTGAGAATGCTGCAGTTACACAGACTGACACAAATTCTGTTCAGGCATCCCTGATGTAATCATATAAAGGGGAATTCATTTATTTTTTTTGCAAGTCCTAAATTAAGTCTAACATCTTTTAAAGTGAAGATGCATTAGATAATTGGGTCTCTAATGGATCCAAGCCATGTTCTCATTATTTCACAGTTTCATATGATAAAGTAATTATGTCTAAATATGATCAGTACCCTAGTGACAAGCCAGTCAGACTGGGAATGCTGGGAGGTACTGTAATCAACATCAGGGACTGATAATTGATGTAGGACAGTGATGGCCAATCTTATGTGCAAAGGGCCAGTATGCAGGTTTCTGGGATAACCTTTAGGTCAGCTGTTCTATCCCAGGTGTAATGATTCTTCAGTCAATTTGTCCTGTAATTAGTAATCTAATTATTGAGTTGCAGCAAAAACCCGCAAACACAGCGGCCCTTTCTGGATAAGACTGGCCACCCCTGAACCCTGATGCAGGACATAAACTAATTTCATGTCCCAATTCCATTGAGGGTTTGATGCATTGTTGTTGCACATATATATCCTTATGTGGATATAACTAAATATTAGAATCTTGAATGAAACACATATTTTGCTAGGTCACAATTCTGTTTGATAACCCTTTTTCTTTTCAGGTTTTGTGAGTACTATTTGACAGATTTTAACTTTTCTTTCCTGTGATGCTTTAAAATGATTAAATTTCTCAATTCAAAAAATTAATCAGTTCATTTTTATCTTAGAAAGGAATTGTTCCCCATTGTTGATATTTTACAGACAATTTCACAATTACAGGCACATTCTGTGTTTGGAAATACTCAGCTGCTTGTTTTCTCATTGTCACACCCCGCTCCGTCCGATCCTAATGTGTGCCACGCCCCCTCGTTAACCTCATGTGGAATCCCAGTGTTTTACAGCTGTTTCGGATTGTTGTCATTAGTTCAGTGTATTTAGTCCGCGTTTCCGTTTGTATCCCCAGTCCGGTCATTGATGTGACGTTGTAATGTTGCGTGCTTTGTGCTCTGCGTTTTGCGTTTTGGATTAAACCCCTTATTCCCCGATTCCTGGCTTCCGTTCGCCTGCTTCCCCGCTCCGTGCTACACGCGCTGTGACACTCATTATCAAACAAAATATGGTGATTATTGTTTAAATATTGTTTAATGGAATGTTGAGCTTGCTTAATCTTCTGTACAATATAATAAAAAAATTATACATTCCTCAAAGCTAATTTTCGTTTTCAGTCCAATCTCTTTCACAATCATTCAGTTTGTTTATAATGTACCACATACCTGTATATGAAATGAATACCACAACTTATATAAATAATAAATGTGGTTATATGCAAAAAATAAACATGCAATATATTAATGAATAAAAATTATGATCATGTAGGCCTATTTGGAAAATTAAAACTACCATATACATTTATTATACCTTTGTTTTATACTTGTTTTTACTTGACAATGTGTTTTTGTTCCCTTACTTCTTTTTAACTTTATTTTCTCCATAAAGAGGGGCCTGTGAAGTCAGTCAATGCTGCTTTTTTTCTCAAACATTACGTAGCGTTAATAGTTACCTATTTGTTTAAAAAAAATCTATCACAACGTCCTATGCCTCGATCTGAATTGTCTCATCTGCTGGGAAATTTAATAATTAAACGGCTTGCCCTACCCCGAAACGAAAAAAAAAACAATGGTATTTGCTGGTATTGTTTGTTCTGCAACACACCTACTACTGTATTTTAAAAATAAATATATAAATATGCTAAAAAAACATAAAACAACCCTCCTCCGTAGAATTTCCCTTTCTGTGGAACATTGTATGTTCAGCAAGCGCCTTTATTGCGTATGAAGATTTAATATGTTTAATGTTATGATTTTCTTGGAGTGAATTTCATGAGTACTAGCCTAACAATCATGGATTTTTGGTCGAATATTTATGGGCTAATATTGCAGCTGAAAACTACTGTCGAAATTTAAGACATGACTACAAACAAATATACTTTAAAAATATCTTCACATTTGAAGAACAGGAAATAATTACACTCACCTAAAGGATTATTAGGAACACCATACTAATACGGTGTTTGACTCCCTTTCGCCTTCAGAACTGCCTTAATTCTACGCGGCATTGATTCAACAAGGTACTGAAAGCATTCTTTAGAAATGTTGGCCCATATTGATAGGATAGCATCTTGCAGTTGATGGAGATTTGTGGGATGCACATCCAGGGCACGAAGCTCCCGTTCCACCACATCCCAAAGATGCTCTATTGGGTTGAGATCTGGTGACTGTGGGGACCATTTTAGTACAGTGAACTCATTGTCATGTTCAAGAAACCAATTTGAAATGATTCGAGCTTTGTGACATGGTGCATTATCCTGCTGGAAGTAGCCATCAGAGGATGGGTACATGGTGGTCATAAAGGGATGGACATGGTCAGAAACAATGCTCAGGTAGGCCGTGGCATTTAAACGATGCCCAATTGGCACTAAGGGGCCTAAAGTGTGCCAAGAAAACATCCCCCACACCATTACGCCACCACGAGTAGCCTGCACAGTGGTAACAAGGCATGATGGATCCATGTTCTCATTCTGTTTACGCCAAATTCTGACTCTACCATTTGAATGTCTCAACAGAAATCGAGACTCATCAGACCAGGCAACATTTTTCCAGTCTTCAACTGTCCAATTTTGGTGAGCTCGTGCAAATTGTAGCCTCTTTTTCCTATTTGTAGTGGAGATGAGTGGTACCCATCCGCCT